AGCAAAGTTTATGTTCCACCTTAATTCTTTTGATTTGACAATAACACGAAACGATTTATCTAAAAATAACATATTTAACCTTAATAAAATCTGAAGGCAGCTTTAAGGGATTTATTTTTATTTGACAATCTATTACATGAAATAATTTATCTAAAATAACATATTTAACCTTTAGAATTGCTGAAAGCTGCTTTAACGGATTTCAATATGGAAATAAAACCACCAATAAAGAGCCTGGTCAGACTGCGCAATATGTGCGGGCCGACCTGGCTTGGTACTGGTGGCTAAGGCTCACCACCATCGGTTCCAGCAGGTTCAGGGCTCAATACTCTCATAAACAACACTATAAAGCCTACAGGGCTTATTAGACTATATCTACATTCCACTATATAATTTATCATGTAAATACGTTATTTAAATTAACTTCTATTTTCATGATTAAATATTCTCCCCCAAAGATATCAGAAGCGTACATGATGCTCCAAAAAATAATACAATGTATATAACAAACCAATTTAATTAAGCAATAACAAATAAAATAAAAGGTTAAACGGACATCACAATACTTTTTTTTTCAAATATTTTATACACCTTTTTACTAATCTAAATGAATACACAATACTGATTAAATGCTTTTATTTTTTATTTATTTTTTTCAAATTTCTGTACAATAAGTTTTTCCTTGATATTTTAGGCACTTTGTTAAATTGAAGAAAAGTCAGCAAGGGCTTAAGCTTGTTTTTAAAAACAATTGGTTTGATAGAAAAACTACAAAAATATAAAACAAAATAGACTGTACACTTCAAAATCTCACAAGTTAATGATGATAATCATTAAGTACCACAAGACTAGTAGTAACATTACTTTGTAGACCAGTCTAAAACCGAGTCTTCTGATTGGCTGCATTCAAATTTGAATTTCAAACTGACCAATGAAAAGGCTGCATTTATAGACTGGTCTACCATTCAAGTTTTATCAATTTAATGAAACCAAATAAGACGTTAACAGTAATGACAAAGCAGTACAAATTTTATAACAATTGTTCTAAAATATATAAACAGTATAAAATTTTCTCTTAGCTAAATATATTTCAGCTTTGCTAGAAATTATGAACATTTTTTTATCAATATCATATTTTTTTTACACAGTCATTGCACACTTACATGCTTCCCTTACTTTAAAAGAGGACAATCATTGCAATATAAAGCAATAGAATTTTCATACTGAAATTAATTGATTACTTAGAGTAAATATGAAAAATATCTCATTGAAGAGTGATATTTTTCATATATCATCACAAGATTAACCAGGAATGATATACAGAAAATATTCACCTCCAACTAGATATATTGCATAAACAATAAACAAATATTTCACTACAAGGTATTCACAGTGAATGATATAGAAAATATCTCACTGCAAGGAATCGATAGTTAATATATTAGCTTACAATAGAACTAGATTAGCTGAAAATAAAACTGGATTATTCACTCAAAACAATTATCAACAATCTAATATAATTATACATGTATATGTTTAATTTATATATTGTACTGAATGAGTATTACGTATAACAAACAAAAACCTAATACACCCCAAAAAAATTAATACATTTTTTTCCAACTCTTGAGCAGGGAGTTTATTAGAGATCAGTCGAGGGTTGACTGCAAAACTGTTGTAAGTTTTTCTTCGTATCATATTAGTTACTGCAGTTTAGCCGTCAACCCTCGAAATTATTCTGCTTACTGATATGGTATAATCTCAGCTGAGCAACCCTTTTGGAGCAATGACCTCTTTTAACCAACCATATTATTAATTTTCTTAGCAAAGTAGATTTTCCACTCTATTTTACTTCTGTATAGCAACCACATCTACGCAACAACCAAAACACTTTTTGTCTCCAAAAAGGGTGTTGCCCAGCACAGGTTTTACTGTATCTAAAATATTCTAATAAAATGACAAAGGTCCTTATATAATTTAAGCTAAAGCATTTATGAATATTCTGTTCAATTTTTAAATTTTTCATTGTTACCTGTTTCAGTGTCAGTAAGGCAAACTTTATTTATGGAATTTTTGAATTTCGATATAAAAATCACCTAAACCTTGGAACGGACTGTATCAAATTCAAAGCAGGGCAAATTCATTATACAAAATCAGTGGGTGAGAGGGTTAATGTAATTAAAAATATTAATGAAGTGACTAGAACAACTAGAGGTTGATCATCAGGCACATAATTAGGCTAAAAATATCGGTTTAGTTTTTGCCGATCATCACCGTGACAACCGGGATGACAACCAATAAATCTTTATAATATTATATATAGTCAATGGAAATCGTATTTATTACATATTATTTAGAGCTGAATGCCTCCAGATGAGCCCAATCAAACTTGTAAAAAAAAGTCAAAATAAGATAGAAATGAAGAAATACAACACATCAACACCAGAGCAGGTTGAGTAATTTAGTAACCTACCGGTCCGGTTTCAGTTCAAACGTACCTTCATCAGGATGTTAAAAAAGTATTAAGCTTTCAAGAAAAGTGAGAAAAAAATCAAAATATAAGTAATAATTTCCATGTATGTGCGATTTATAGCCGAATTTGCAGTTAATTTCACCATATTTCTTTACTTTGACCTACTTTTGCATTAAGGTTGTATTTTGGACCTTTTTGGTCTTTTACATTGGTTTGTAAGTGGGATTGAATGTGAAATTATTTTTGCTCACTTCACAATATTTTACTTTTTAATACTTTTTTGAAATTTTACATGAAAATTAGCATGAATCGGGAGGCATGCTTCTTTAAATCATATAATAAGAGATCCAGCTGAATTCAAAGCCGAGGTCTTGTGATAAAGGATTAGGTGAGAAATGAGACGTAAATAAAACAAAAATTCTTTTTTATATGTGACCTATGTATGTGTTTATAAATATGTTTGAATTGTATACAATGTGTTTGTATATACACACAGACATTGTATACAAATCAAAATTATCACATTGTACAAACAATACCCGGATAAATAAATGTAACTGTATCAATGTATATATATACACATGTAGATTGACTTATATATATAAATATAGTAGAGGAATCCAAACATAGACTGTGACACAATAATATATAACAGAAACAAGGAACCAGTCCAACAAATGAAGCTTTATGATTGGTCAATTTCAAATCAGGTCTAGAGAATCAACCAATCATGTGCTAGCTCACTTTCAGACTGGTACCCAGCATTCAGATAATATATCACTTTGCAATATTTTAATGTTCAAATTCAGAAAGAAGGTTTTTACACATAAATACTCTAGATAAGAATAAAATACTGTTTATTTTCAATATGACCGAGTCATACATAAAGACCGAGTCATGGATTTTTTGAAATAATAAAAAAAATTATTTTATTAGCCCAACATCACTATTTAACATTCCACATAACTGATGGGGGTTGGGATTATTAAATTTCTGTAGAAAAGTGGCATAAGTGATTATGGAAAATCTATTTACTCATTCTAGCATTAAGATATCATATCATATATTCACAGAAATCTAACAAAAAAGTAGAAAAAAATAATTAAAGCTCAAATTATTACAACACACAATTATACATAATGATTCCAGAAAATATTTCACATATATAATGGTTATTTTCTGAATAAGATGCATGCTCAGTCTTTTTATTGCACTAAACAACATAACACTGCAGGAAAAAAACAATTTCACGCTTGATTTGATATTCAACTAGCAAAAGGTGCTGTTTTAATTGTCATTGTAAACAACATAAAATAATCCTAAACAGTACACACAGGTGTCTCATTTTATATTCTATACAAAGCCTTTATTTCTATAACAGAAATAAAGGGCAGTTACTCTGTATTTCTCCATTCTGGTAGAACATAAATCAAGAGCAGCAACTCTAAATTTCTCAATTCTACTACAACAGAAATCAAGGGCAAATCAAGGGCAGCAACTGTGTATTTCTCCATTCTACTAGAACAGAAATCAAGGGCAGCAACTCTGTATTTCTCCATTCTACTAGAACAGAAATCAAGGGCAGCAACTCTGTATTTCTCCATTCTACTAGAACAGAAATCAAGGGCAGCAACTGTGTATTTTCACCATTCTAGTATTGTGTATTCAGTACCATAATATTCATTCTATCAAAGATAACTCTATATACATATATATCTAACACAGTGGAGATGAATTTCAATGAAAAATATAAATGATATTTTTATTTTAACTTGTTGTCCAATTTACTTGTCTTTTTCTTTTCAATATTAAATGCTTGCTTTATGTTCACTAACTGCAGAAATTTAAATTTTGTAGTGTCAGCAATTAAGCTGCACAATTTACTGCTTTATATAAAATCAGACAAGAAGTCATGTTAATTGATATAATTAACCACAAATTCCCCTTTCCCAACCCCTGACATTATCAATTCTCTGAAGCGCAGGTGACCCTGTTAAGTCAGCTGGACCTGGACCTTGCCAGTACTGGTGTCACATCAAATGAGGAAACATGGTCATGACCAAAGAAGAGCTCAAACCTATGACCTTTAGGTTGAGTAAATGAGTGGCGGACCTTTTAACCACTTATCCACAACTCACTCCTACTACTATAACATAAAACCTAAAATTTGAAAGTAAAGCTGACCCAAACTGGTTGGTTCCAGGAACGGTTTCCAAAGTGTATCTATAAGCTTTAAGCTTCCTACACAATCAAACTAAAATAAATTCTGCATAAACCAATATTATGTTTTGTTGCTGGTTAACATTGACCTGTAAACTGAACAACAAGTTAAAATATCAGTAGATTTCTACTATATAAACTTAGGCAATATAATGGCAGTTCTTACAGACAACACATTCTTATAGGCACCAGTTCTATTATTAGTAACAATAATTACATCATCATCATCCCTTTCAAAAAATCCTTAAAGGTGGTTAACCTAATTTCACTATAGATATTTTGTATTTTTTCTGTTTTATTTCCACCCCCTCCCCCACCCCCAAAAAAATGACATTTTTTTTTCTCTCTCATATTTCTGCTGACAAAGAGAGACAACTCTTTTTGACAAAGATTTATTGGTTTTTTTTTACAGAAACTTGCGAAATCCCTGTATTAAATTGAAGGCAAATTTAGCAAATCTATTTTAAGCAATTATATTGCACGTGAATATAGCGAAAATTAAATACTCGTGGAAAAAACCTGATATACAGTATAACTCATGCCAGCACACATGAATGATTAATTTATTAGGCTAACCACCTTTAAAAAATTTATGAGATAAATCATTTTTATATTTTTACAAAAGCTGCATTTTCTAACAAGTGACCACATTTAAAAAACTAACATAGCTGTAGAAAAAAAATCAATCTATCCATTTTTCTCTATCATTTATCAATACAAAAATAAGAATGGTTCTGAAAAAAATTGCAAAACACAAAATGCCCCAGTTCAATAACTGTTAATTACCTAAGGTAAATAACCTAAATTTTGAAAATTGACCTTGACCTCAAATTCATTTATGGGTCAAGGTCATATTTCAAAATCAAGCTAATTAATGCCAAGAGGTATTTTGTGTCAGATTTTGAAGGAATGAAGTTGTTACAAATTTATCAGCTCACGTATAGGACAAAAGTTATTTGCCCCATCTAATATAAATCAACTGTTACTAGGGCATACAAAATCAATGACCTACTTTTATATATTCAGACAAAATTGTACTAAAATATGTCAAAATATAAATAATTTTTTCTTCAAAATATCAATTCTTCTTTTGTTAAACTTTAAAACATTTTTTTCCATATAATGAATATATAACTAATGTCATGTTTTTTGCACTATTACATTCAAATAACCATTTAAAACTCAATGTTACACCTTTGTAAAAGATAATTGCACCTGGTTTAATTTCACATGTTTGCAGATACAATTATCTCCCATAAGATGAAGTATATACATGTATATATATTTATATATATATTTATTTTTTTATATAAAAAAGTTTTTATGTTGATTATGGACCATTCCTTCCTGAACTTGTGACCTTTTGTTTTTATCCTATATAAAGGTCATCTTACAAGTCGCTGAACTTTGACCTTTTGATACTGAAGATGGATGAAATCACAGTAGTGTTTATCTCCCCTTTGTTCAACCTGCTTTTGTATTATTGTGATTACCGACGTTGTTTCCGACGTGATTATGTTCCGGCTCGTCTGACACGGGTTCCTCCGTCGAGCTTCTGACATCATCAACCTGCTCAAGGAAATATAAAAAAGTACCTTACGTTTAGGAATAATACATGATGATAACTACCTTACGTTTAGGAATAATAGAACATGATGATGCCTTATGTTTAGGAATAATAAAATGTGATGATGCCTTACGTTAAGGAATAATAGAAATGATAACTACCTTACATTTAGGAATAATAAAATGTGATGATGCCTTACGTTAAGGAATAATAGAAATGATGACAAATACCTTACGTTTAGGAATAATAGAATAAGATGATAAATACCTTACGTTTAGGAATAATAGAATGTGATGACAAATACCTTACGTTTAGGAATAATAGAATGTGATGACAAATACCTTACGTTTAGGAATAATAGAATAAGATGACAAATACCTTACGTTTAGGAATAAAAGAACGTGATTATAAATACCTTACGTTTAGGAATAATAGAATATGATGATAAATACCTTACGTTTAGGAATAAAAGAACGTGATTATAAATACCTTACGTTTAGGAATAATAGAATATGATGATAAAATAATGTGATGATATAAGACAATAAAAAATAATGAAAATTCAATATTTTCTTCCAGAAAACTTATTTTTTTGTGATTTCACCCCACCTCTACCCTTTGAATCTTTACAAATTTACAATTCATATAAGATCATATACTTTGTTTTGACTTGTAAATATGTAAATTATACAGCTACAAGTAAGATAAATCAAATTTGCCAGTGTAGGGTTTAGATTAACCTATCAACTACTATTACTATAGGCTTGGAGGCAAAAAAAAAATATTTTCCTATTACTAATGTCGTAGGGAAATACAACAACTGCCTGGCCCTTGGCAAAAAATCTAATCAATTTATTCAGAAGCACATTGCACAATCATGATGTGTTCACAAGATAAAACATGTGCAGCTTAAGTGTTGATCACAAACAAAAAAGTGCCCATTAAAATACATGAATTTTCAGAAACGATTAAACAAATGAAGATGTTATAACACTGACACATAACACATAAAACGTCAGTCAGAAAAGAAGGCAGGTATAAAAATACACCACAAACACATTCCTAAAAGGCAAAATTAGAAACTGGGTCAATAGAACTTAATGTATTTTTCAAACAGATGATAAAATATTGATAAAGAACTAGAATTAATTTTATTTCTTCTACAAAATGTGCTATTAAATGTGCACAAATGAAGTGGAAAATAAATAAAGTGAATTTGTACTATGCTCTTATTACATTTCCAAGGCAACAATAATATTTTTCATTTCAGAGAATAATGTGTAACAAAAATATTGTTTTATTTAGTTTTATGGCGCAGCAACACAATTTAGGCCATTTGGCACCAAAACAGAACAAGAGCTGTCACAGGAGACAGCGAAGCTCGACTAATAAAATACTGGACGCAGTAAGGAGGACAAAACTATGAAAGAAAAATCAAAAATGTATAATTATGTATTAAGTTATAGTAAAAAAAATAATATTTGTTAACATAAATTCCAAAATCAAGGGGAATAATTCTAGAAATAGTCATGCTATAGTTATGGACCTTGTCAAACAACATTTGTGTAATGATAAGAAATATATATTTGAAGTTTGAAGTAGATACCTTAAAAAGTAAAGAAGTTTTTATATTTCTTAAAGAAAATCCTAAGTTCAAAGAGAGATAAATCTGTAAATATTGCTTCAAGAGTTATGAACATTGTCACATAAAATGTAATTGATGATAAGGAATAAGTATTTGAAGTTTGAGGTATATATCTTTAAAAATAAATAAGTTATAATAAAAAATAACATTTTTCTAGTAAAATAATCTAAGTTTATGGGGAGATAATTCTTGCAATATTGTTGCTAGAGTTATGAGTCTTGTCACATAAGATGTGGATGATGATAACGTAAATATATTTGAAGTATGAAGTTGATCCCTTTAGAAATAAATAAGTAACAGTAAAAAAATAGTACTTTTTGAGGAAAATTCTAAGTTCAAGGGGAGATAAATCTGAAAATATTGGTGCTAGAGTTATGAACCTTGTCACATAAGATGGGGATGATGATAAGGTACATATATTTGAAGTATGAGGTTGATCCCTTAAGAAATAAAGAAGTAACAGTAAAAAATAGTATTTTTTAAGGAAAATTCAAAGTTCAAGGGGAGATAAATCTGAAAATATTGGTGCTAGAGTTATGAACCTTGTCACATATGATGTGGTTGATGATAAGGAACATATATTTGAAGTTTGAAGTTGATACCTTAAGAAATGACAAAGTTATAGTGAAAAATATTTTACTGCACCAAAACTTTAATCTAAAATCTGGACGCGGACGCGGACGCCGACGCCGGGGCGAGTAGGACAGCTCTCCATATACTTCGTATAGTCGAGCTAAAAAATTGATTTTAGCTAACCTCGGTGTTACAAACTTTAAGCAACACCCAGCGTCAAAACCACCTCACCAGCTGGAGCTAAGAGATGCATAGACTCCAGTAATTCGAACCCATTTAGTCGCCTCTTACGATCACGCAGGGCTAAATGGGGGATGCAATTCAGATGCCTTAACCAGTAAAGGCAACCCCTCAGCCCCTTGTGGATAACAAAGATATAGAAGTTTTCTCTTCACAAAGATATATAAGTTTTCTAACATTGTCTACATATATTGCAGCCAGACCACTGTCAGATGGTCAATTTTAAAGCCTGTAGTTATACTGCATGCATCTTTACCCACACCCAAATCGACTAGCAATAACATTTGATATTAAAACATTTTTTCATACTTTCTCTACATAACAGTAATTAATTCACTTAAATTTAAATAATAAGAATCTTACAATCTTACAAACTCTGCATCGTTAATAAAAATAATGGGTGAACAAGGGATACTGTAAAAATGAATAACGGTGACTAACAGGTGGATCTATAATCTACAAACCCTTACAGTGACCTACAATGGAAAAAGGGGGGACAACTCTTACTCGAAACTAATTACTCATAAACTTTAAAGGCCCATTATGCCTCAGAAATTCTTTATTATTTTTATTATTCAAAAAAAAAGAAATTAATATATTGGTATATTTTTATAATATCCAAAAAGTTACTCATTGGCCAATTACCTGAACCATCTTTTTCTTCTATTGCTTTTTTTGGCCATAAGTTCAGTTATAAAGATTTAATATTTAACTACTTTGTTTAAATTTTTTGACTTTTATAACTATTTTTTCACATTTATCTCTACTTTCTTTGGGTAACAAGTATCAAACATTCTCTAAAACGATTATTTAAACAATACAAAAATTCATTTTTGCCCTTTCTGAAGAAGTAAAAAAAAAATGTTTCTGAGGCATACTGTGCCTTTAAATGAGTCAACAAAATTACAAACAGCTGTTTATATGGATATCTTAATGAAAAGGGCTAAAATTTATCTCTGATAAATGAATCTGCAATTTGACAATCTGAAATTAGACAGTTCCTTATTCTTATTATGATAGAATGTAAAGATAACTTCATAAAAAGTAAACAAAACGTGCACAAGAGGTCCTTCACATTTTAATCTACCTTAATGCACAGAGCATCGGTGGGGAATTAAACCATGGATTAAAATGTTAAGTAAAATAAATTGAAATATAAAGAGATCGATACAAAACCTGACAAGGGGTCATATTGAGTTAAATCATAACTACACAGTAATGTTACACGTAATACATTAAACTTAACTTTTTTGTTTCGATTTTAAAGGAACTCTACTGAGGGGCAATATATAGAAAAGATTAGAAATTCTTACATTTATCAGCTGGTGCACTTAAAACGGAAAAAAAAATATGCAAAAAAAAAAGATAATAATTAAAGAAACTTTCTTCAGAATTGAAATGAAAAACCTATGTTTGTGCAGTTCTCGTCAATATTTCAGTGAAAAACACTTATATTTGGATTATTTTTGCACTATTAAAATATCAATTCTGGAAAAATAGAGTAAGCGAATTATCTGAAATTTTGCAAACAAATTATTGGTACAGACCTATATCAAACTGTAAAGAAATCTCAAAAAATATTTGACATACATTCATGTGGTAAAAAAAACACCCTCAAAGTAATCCCTTTAAAACTCTGACCTATATCAAGTTATTGAGTGGACACCAATGTTGCTAACGGACAGAGAGACAGACATACAGACAAGAGCCAATATATCTTAGTATTACCAAAGTTATCTTTGGGTGTATAAAAACTAAAATGGAACTAAAAAGGATAAATTTATACTTTTATAAATATGTTTCAAAGGACAGGACTAAGCTTTGGTTAATATTATATATTATATAAGGGTATATAAATATTTGTGTGAAGATAATTTGTGCAGTACAGACACAGTATACACATTAAATACATAAATAACTTAGATCCCAAACAATTTTCTAACATTTATAGTCCAGACAAAAAACAAGGTTCTACATTATACAGTATTCCAAGCCCAGTTGAGAATCTTGGTAAAAACCACCGACCTTTCTCATGTCATGTTCATTCAAATGTAAAATCTCAAAATCCATATATAGCATCTTAATCTCAAAATCCATATACAGCATTTAATCTCAAAATCCATATACAGCATTTAATCTCAAAATCCATATACAGCATTTAATCTCAAAATCCATATACAGCATTTAATCTCAAAATCTATATACAGCATTTAATTTCAAAATCCATATACAGCATTTAATCTCAAAATCCATATACAGCATTTAATTTCAAAATCCATATACAGCATTTAATTTCAAAATCCATATCCAAGATTTAATCTCAAAATCCATATACAGCATTTAATTTCAAAATCCATATCCAAGATTTAATTTCAAAATCCATATACAGCATTTAATCTCCAAATCCATATCCAGGATTCAAACTCCCACATTAGAGAACACCTGACATGAGGTTAGTGAAACAAACAATAAGCTTATACTTTTACAAGTATTCATAAGTTACTAAAGAAAGAACCTGAATGTCATTTTTAGACATATATTATATAAATTATAATACATTTATCATTTACATACACATATTTTATATGGTCAATGTCATCGTGTTACACTTTATCTTATGGGAAGGAAAAAACATAATTTCATCACTACAAATATATATTAACCTAGCAGTTACATGATAAATAATGGGTAAGAAAATTGAAGAAAACATACCCCTGCCTATTTTGAAATATTTACAGAAAATTAGTCATGTATCCTTACAGTTATAATTAAGTTCTATATACAGTTCATTTGAGTATACTCTACAGGGGTGTGGAATTCCCATGCCCGACTTGTCCGACTCGGGACTTTATGCCTGCGGACAAGTAGATTTTTCAGTAGAACTTGTCCGTGGACAAGTGAAAATCGGAGCCAGTAGGAAAAACAAAATACTGTACTTTTGTCGCTTATCAATGGGGAACATTTATTGTAGTAAGTAAAGTAATGATTCTTGGTTAACTATGAGGAAATACACTTTTTTATATCAATCATTCCAACCCATGGAAGAACTCTTGAAGGAAAGCAGGCTCCTTGATACATGCAGGCCATATGGAGGCAACCACTATGTAAAGTAAATTTTAAAATGCACATTTGGTAAAAATTGTAAAGTTGTTTTGGTTAAAAAAATTTCAAAAGGATAATTGTTTGGACATCATTTATAAAAGTTGTAGATTGTTTCCTCAAACTACAGAAATGATGTCTGGTCTATTCTCAGCAAATCCGTTCACACCTTACTATATGAAAGGACACTGTTACCTCCAATTAACTTTTGTTTTAACACATGGCCAATGTTTTGTAGTTTTATATGGGCAAGTACATTAAGCTGCGGACAAGTAAAAATTTCTGGAAAACTTGTCCGTGGGCAAGTGGCAAAATTTCATATTTCCACACCCCTGCTCTACAGTTATTTACTTCTAGATCAACTTATTCTTTTACTACTTGGAAATCTACAAGCTCTCCCAAACAACAAACATTTTACGCTGCTTCAACACAGTATAGGTCACATAGCGACATTTCACCTTTACACGTAGAGGAAGATGCCCCTCCTGAACGGGCACCTGAGTACAACCACCAATCTTCTGTAAGCTAGCTGGATAGCTTCCTCACATGAAAGAAATCAAAGTCCTTGTTGAGATTTGAACCCACAGCAGTGAGGGGCAAGTTATAGTTTGAAGTAAACGACCATAACCATGCAGCTACAGAAGCCTCAGTTAATATAGTATATATACAGATAAAGTTACAGTGCAGAAAAGAAGAAACTTGGTTGATCTTTTATCTGACTCCCAAACGAATAGAGTTATTATTATTATACTAGTAAACTTTCCCAGTGAATAAAGCTATACTAAGTAGTGACAGTGTTAAGTTAACTGAAAGCAATATAAACAAGATTGCATTTGAGAAAAATGCTATGCCACCGCATTAATACAACACTAAATAGTAGTGTAAGAACAGATTTTTTTTGTTTCTATATAACTGAAGATTGTCATAATGCATAGATCCCTGACCTATCTAATTCTTATTATCAGATTAGTGGTTAAATCTATTGTAAATCCAATAAAAGATCAGAGTAGGAATATATCAATACACTTGAGTCTAGTGAATTTCGTGGTGAAGGTCATATTTCACACAGCCTAAATTTCATGACTACATCAAAGGACTACACAGTAAGACATTTTGTCAAAATCTAGGTCAGCTGATATCAAAGTTCACTTTACATCTTAATCTGTACACATGGTTCAAATTTCATAGCTGTACATCAAAGGACAAGAAAGTAGGTCACATCATCAAAATCTAGGTCAACTGATATCAAAGTTCAATTTTACAACTAAAACTGTGCACATGGTCAAAATTTCATTGCTGTACATCAAAGGACAAGAAAGTAGGTCACTGTCCCCTTGGGCAAGACAAAATTTAACCCAAGGGTTTAATTCAAAACAATCTCCATACAGGTCCACCGAACAACATTTCAAGTCAAATATCTAAGCGGTTGTTTTCTCCCATTCAGAAAACATTTGTTTTATTTTCTGTTTTTACTATGTGTATATAATGAGAATCACCGCCCCCGGGCAGGGCCAAATTTTGATACCAGAGGAAAAATTTGAACAATTGTGGTAGAGGACCTATAGATGACATTATATAGCAAACATCAAAGCTCTATGCCTTGTACCTTCGGACAAAAATATTTTTTATTTTTTTACTATATGTACATAATGAAAATCAATGACCCCCGGGGCTGAACCAATTTTGACCCCAGGGCTTTAATTTGAACAATCTTGGTAGAGGTTCACTTCGCAAAGTCTCATGCCATATATTTTACCTCTAGCCTTTGTCATTTCAGAGAAGAAGATTTTCAAGATTTTACTTTATACATACATGTATAAGGAAAACTATCTCCTCTGGGGCAGGGCAATTTTAACACTAGGGGTATAATTAAAACAAATTTTGTAGAGGACCCATAGGTGATATTATATACCAAATATCAAAGCTCTAAGCCTTGTACCTGCAGACAAGAAGATTTTTTAATGTTTTACTATATGTACATAGTGAAAATCAATGACCCCTTGGGTTTGGGCCAATTTTAATGACCCCAGGGTTGTAATTTGTACAATCTTGCTAGAGATTCACTACACAATGTTTCATGCAAAATATCTTAACTCTAGCCTTTTTAAATTTAGAGAAGATGATTTTTTAAGTTTTTACTATGTACATATAAGGAAAACCTATGGCCCCTGGGGCGGGGATAATTTTGACACTAAAGACAAAATTTGAACAACTTTTGTAGATAACCTATAGATGATATTATTTAACAAATATTAAAGCTCTAAGCCTTGTACCTTCAGACAATATGATTTTTTGATTTTTTTACTTTATGTATATATTGAAAAGCCATGACCCCCGGGGCTGAACCAATTTTGACCCCCGGGCTATAATTTGAACAATCATGCTAGAGGTTCACCACAAAATGTTTCATGCAAAATATCTAGCCTCTAGCATTTGTCAATTGCTAGAAGAAATTTTTTTAAAGTTTTTACTATAAATTTTTACTATATACATATAAGGAAAACCAATGACCCCCGGGGCGGGGCCTATTTCGACCCTAGGGTTATAATTTGAACTATCTTGGTAGAGGTCTACCAGACAATGCCTTATGCAAAATATCTAAGCTCTAGGCCTTTCGGGTCTTTACAAGAAGGTATTTTAAGTTTTTACTATATGTACATTTAGTGAAAATCAATGACCCCCAGGGTGGGGCCGATTTTGACCCCAGGGCTATAATTTGAACAATCTTGGTAGAGGTCTACCAGACAATGCCTTATGCAAAATATCTAAGCTCTAGGCCTTTTGAGTCTTTAAAAGAAGATTTTTTTAATTTATTCTTATAATTCCTTTTGGTTGCCATGGCAACCAGATTTCTGCATGGAATGAAATTCTTTGAACAACTTTGGAAGCCCTTCACCCAAGGAACAATCCTGCAAAGTTTGGTTGAAATTGGACTAGTGGTTTTTCACAAGAAGATTTTTGAAGTTCACTATATAATCTATAGAACACACACGCACACAAACAAACACACACACACACACAGGTAAATCGCTATATGCCACCGCATCGCAGATGCTGCGGTGGCATAAAAACAAAAAGAAACATCAATGCTTTCCCTGTCAGGCATCGAAAAACATTTTCAGAGTCACTCGTCCCATAGGACAAGTCACGTCTAAATCCAATGTGCAGGCAACATTTTTCTACTTGTCCTGCATCAATTTCTCTCAAATTCTACTCGTACTTGAAATTACGAGCAGACAACGGAATTTTCGATCTCTGAGTCTGTGTGTTTAAGCCCCGGTCACCAAATAATAGAACGAAAAATAAGAAACATGATTAGAAAAACAACTACTATCTACGTCACGCATGCTAACAAGTGGTGTGACACTACCTCTGACTTCTTCGTGAGGGCGGAGTACGCCACCCGTACAATAAGTGAGAACCAGTACGTGTGTAGAACCAGTAATAGGCACAACCAGCCGTTGAAGAAAACTAGAGATGGCCAGAAACCCATGATCTCATTACTTTGGTTCCATGTAGCATTTAAAACTCTGAAATATAATAAAAAATTTGTAAATATCTACTTATTAATCAAAGTGTCATGCTGAAAGATGAATGAAAAAATTTTAAGACAAGTTTACTATTACAGTAGAACTTCAGTAAGTCAGATATGAAGGGACTTGCATAACAAGAGGGCCATGATGGCCCTGAAGTCGCTCACCTGTATATAGGCCCCTAGAGGGGGCCAGTTTAAACCCCAGGGCTTTTATTTGAACAAACTTGGTAGACACCCATTAGAAGATATTTCATGCTTAACATCCAAGGTCTAGCTGGACGAGTTTTTTTCTTTACACATATAGTTAAAAACAATGACACACCTGGGGCAGGGCCAGTTTTGATCCAAGGGCTTTTATTTGAACAATCTTTGTAGACACTTACTAGAAAATGTTTCATGCTTAATATCTAAACTCCAGCTATTCGGGTTTTTTCAAAGAAGACTTCTAATTTTTTGCTATACACATATAAGGAAAATCAATGTCAGCCGGGGCGGGGCCAATTTTGACCCCAGGGCTTTTATTTGAACAAACTTGGTAGACAATCACTAGAAGATGTTTCATGCTTAGTATCTAAACTCTAGCTATTTGGTTTTTTTCAAAGAAGATTTTTTAAGTTTTTTCTATACACATATAAGGAAAATCAATGACCCCCGGGGCGGGGCCAATTTTGATCCCAGGGCTCTTATTTGAACAAACTTGGTAGACATCCATTAGAACATGTTTCATGCTAAATATCTTAGCTCTAGCACTTTGGGTTCTTTAAAAGAAGATTTTTTAAGTTTTTACTATATGCATATAGGGAAAATCAATGACCCCCTGTGGTGGGGCCAATTTTGACCCCAGGGCTTTTATTTGAACAAACTTGGTAGACACCCATAAGAAGATGTTTCATGGTAAATATCTTAGCTTTAGCTCTTTGGGTTATTAAAAGAATTTTTTTAAAATTTTTACTATATGCCTATAGGTAAAATCAAAGACCCCCTGGGGCGGGGCCAATTTTGACCCCAGGGCTTTTATTTGAACAAACTTGGTAGACATCCATTAGAACATGTTTCATGCCAAATATCTAAGCTCTAGCTCTTTGGGTTTTTTTAAAGAAATTTTTTTAAGTTTTTACTATATGCATATAGGGAAAATCAATGACCCCCTGGGGCTGGGCCAATTTTGACCCCAGGGCTTTTATTTGAACAAACTTGGTAGACATCCATTAGAACATGTTTCATGCTAAATATCTTAGCTCTAGCTCTTTGGGTTCTTTAAAAGAAGATTTTTTAAGTTTTTACTATATGCATATAGGGAAAATCAATGACCCCCTGGGGCGGGGCCAATTTTGACCCCAGGGCTTTTATTTGAACAAACTTGGTAGACATCCATTAGAACATGTTTCATGCCAAATATCTAAGCTCTAGCTCTTTGGGTTTTTTAAAAGAAGATTTTTTAAGTTTTTACTATATGCATATAGGGAAAATCAATGACCCCCTGGGGCGGGGCCAATTTTGACCCCAGGGCTTTTATTTGAACAAACTTGGTAGACATCCATTAGAACATGTTTCATGCCAAATATCTAAGCTCTAGCTCTTTGGGTTTTTTAGAAGAAGATTTTTTAAGTTTTTACTATATGCATATAGGGAAAATCAATGACCCCCTGGGGCGGGGCCAATTTTGACCCTAGGGCTTTTCTTTGAACAAACTTGGTAGACACTTACTAGAAGATGTTTCATGCCAAATATCTAAGCTCTAGCTCTTTGGGTTTTTTAGAAGAAGATGTTTAAAGTTTTTTCTTTTGGTTGCCATGGCAACCAGAGTTCTGCATGGAATTAAATTCTTTGAACAATTTTTAAAGGTGACCACCAAAGGAACATTCCTGTGAAGTTTGGATGAAATTGGCTTAGCGGTTTATGAGGAGATGTCATTTAAAGCAAAAGTTTACGGACGCCGGACGGACGGACGGACGCCGGACGAAAAGCGATCACAAAAGCTCACCCTGTCACTTTGTGAAAGGTGAGCTAAAAACACTGGACACATCGGGACTTTGACTCATGAATCAATCTCAATATAATGACAACATTTTTCAAGAAGGTGTAACAAATGGGAAGAGCTATAACTTAATCAGTCTATATCAAATATATCCCATGTGATTATCGAGCAACATCAGGTGAAGGAAGTTCTCAAACGAAAATAAATTTTTACTGCTTATTTTCAAATACAACTATGACAATTAAAATGATAACTATTCAAGCATATTCTCATACAAAAACTCGTACAAAGACTCATAAGTACATACAACTGTGTAATTAACACCTTTCAAACAAGTTAATCGGCAATCATTTCATTGTGGGACAAGGTGGTGAAAAACAAGATCGAAGATGTCAAATTAATTGATGGACTCCCAACTTATTTATGGTAAAATCTGTCAAATTTTTATTTACGGACCACAAAAAAAAAACTTCAACAAAAATAAGTTGATCGGAAATCATTTTCACAATGGGACAAGGTGATGAAAAACATCTTGCGAAAGAAGATGTCAAATTAATCTATGGACTTCAACATATTTATGGTAAAATATCTCAAACGTTTTTTTACAGATCACAAATAAAAATTAGACACATCAAAGATATCGACTTATAAATTTTTTAGACTCAGCCATTTTCAATAAATAACAACACAACTTACTTGAGTGGGTAACATACAAGCCTGGTAACAAACCAAACTACAGCAAAAATAGCAAACAGAATATCACAGAGGCGGTGGGCTTTTGCATACTTCGCCAACTTTGCACCCTGAAACAAAATAAACACATTTTTGTGACTTAGGTACTTTCTTTACAACAAAAACAGATCATAATTCAATAAAGAAAATAGCACTTTAATAAAAGCCACCAATCTTCTGTATGTTAACTGGGTGACATTTTAATTTATTTTATTTTCAGAGAAAAAAAAACCCTGTTTGCATGGCCTTATCAAAGCCAGTATAGCGATAAATAGTAAAACCGTTGTTAAAAACCCCCTCCAAATAAAGACCACCCTGTAATAAAAGACCACTATTTGAAAACTTCCATTGCTAAAATACAAGTCGAGTATACTTAGAATAAAGGCCACTTGTATTTTATGGCCATGTATGGTCTCTCCTTTGGATAACCTTTATCCACAGGTTTTACGGTATAAAGTTTGACTCACCTCTATCCAGAAATCTGCGCAGTCATGTATGCACAATACTAGAGTCCCTACACGTAAAAAGTTGCCTAGGTATGAAAAACTTAACAATGATACTGTGGCAATGTGATGAACAAACATTTCTACAAAATCCTGAAAAATACAACAAAATAAAACACTGATAAAATAAAAGATTACAAAATCAATACATAGTACAATGGAGGACAAGTTCTGACTTTTTATCAAATACTAACACATTTCATTAGAAAAGAAAATATAGAATAATTTTGTAAATGTGGTATAGGATAATAATTTTGGGCTAAAAGTGTCAGCTTAACAGCTAATCCGAGACAATTTTCTGTTGAGATATTTCTGTCTTACATGTAGACACCTGGATGTATTTTTTAGCCTTTCAAGACTTTTTTTCTTTCTATGTTGCACCAACACAGTATAGGTCTCACAATGTTTAACTCCTTGTTTAAACATTATAAAACTCATATTTGCCCTTTCCAAAGAAGAAATTATTTATTCGTTTCTGAGACATAATGTGAATTCAATTTTTTTTACTTATCTCGAGGCCTAAGGCTTTAAAAAAATATGAGACATTAGGGATTAGGGCATTATGGTTATCATGTAATTTAGTAGCTTTAATCAATGCTTAAGGTGAATATGAGCTTTTAAACTAATTCCCCAGTATGATACTACACATTGATTTGGTAACTGTCTAATGGAGAAAGAAGTATAGCAGCACCATTTCCCCATTAAAACATGATTGTAGACTATAGTATATCTAGTGCAATCGACCAGATCTTTTTTTTCATGATAACAACTTAAACAAGGGAAAAGTGTTTACATAAAGAAAAAGCATTGTTGCTACCTTACTTTTTAACAAGAAAGGACAGTGCGATCTTGCACAAACTGACATAATTATAACAACAAAATACTGCCAAACCCGTTTTAAAGACCACTCTTTAAATAAAGACCACTCTTTGACAAACCTTCAGCCACAAAAATTCATCAGAGAAAACTCTGGATAAAGACCACTTGTCTGTAAAGGTCATGTTTGGTCTCTCCTTGAATGACCTTTATTCACAGGTTTGACATCACACAAACACTAACCCAACACTAATTGTATAAAAGGGAAGATAACTCCTCAATTATGACTTTAAAATGACTTTTATAAAAATACTCAATATTATATTATTCCTAAAATTAATTCCACAACGCTTAGTTGATATTCAATACAATTGAAATCTTTTCGTGTTTAAATACACCACCATGTTTTGAACAGAGTACAATGTACAGAACACAATGTACATTGCATGTGTTACCTTTAAAGGGAATGGGTTTCGATTTCTTAATTAATTCAAAATAATATGTGAAATGTCTTACCTTTCTTTTAACATCCAGAAATTGTGAAAACATTAGAGAGAGGTAAAATCCTAGTTCTATGATGTAATACCAGTATATTGCTGTATCTATATTCTGAAAATATAACATCAAATCACAGTGAAAATATAAATAATATCAAATCACAGTGAAAATATATATAATATCAAATCACAGTGAAAATATGTTACACCAAATCAAAGTGAAAATATATAACATCAAAAAAAACAGTGAAAATATATAATATCAAATCACAGTGAAAATGTGTAACATCAAATTGGAGTGAAAATATGTAACATCAAATCATAGTGAAAATATGTAACATTTAATCACAGTGAAAATATGTAATATCAAATCATAGTAATATTATGTAACATACTATGTATCACATCACAGTGAAAATATGTAACATTGAAAAGATTACATTCAATCACAGTGAGACTATATAACAGAAAACTTCAAATCAAAGTGAAAACAAAGCATCAAATCGCGGTGAAAATATAAGATCAAATCAGTGAAAATATATAACATCAAATAACAGTGAAAATATATAATATCAAATTGCAGTGAAATATAACATCTTTAGGATCATTTATTGTCATGAAGACATTTTGACTAGTCCATGGATCAAACTTTGTAGTTTACAAATAATATGCTCTCTCTACTGAACTAAGCACTGGCTGAGGTTGATCTATTTTAACTTAAAACTGTTTTAATTAAATTACTGCTCAACAAGTATTAAACATCAAAACAGTATTAATTCGAGACTTAACTCGTTAACACTTTATAATTTTTCAGAGATAATTATATGTTAACCACACTGCTCTGAATCTGTGTAACTAATGTGTCTTGATTTTGAATGGTGGAAGAATTCTAATTTTATATTTGAAAGCTTTCGAGATTAGTATATATTATAATTAAGCAATGAAAGTTTATATTATCAATCTACAGAGCAAATGTGTCGACTAGAAAGGCTATAATGGTGGAAGCAGGTACCTTCCATATTTGCCTCTAGGGCTACAAACAAATGTGAATGAAATTAATTAAATGTGAAATCAGAGCATATAGAATTATTCCGGAATTAAGAATATTTTTGGATTAAACAGGTAATATGGGGAACCAAACAAACTCTTACAGTTACAGCTTCGAAATTAGCAAAACAGGTTGACTTATTTATTGTGAACGGTGGTGCAACCGCGAAGCTGTAGCAGTCAAAGTCTTTACTGGGAGATTACCCTGGAAAAACCCACACTAAATTTTGCCGAGGTCCAGATTGCAACTATAAGTATTTCTTCAAATTAAAAAAAAACAACAACAAACAAACAAAACCACAATTCCCTGATTAAAGCCTTAATTTCTTGAAATATATAAATAATATTGGTATATAGCAAAACCTAGTGCTCAATTTTTCACACGTATTCTATGAGGGTAAGGCAAGTCTTCCAACAGATAGCAAGCTTTGTTGTTAAAACATAAAAAAAACTTCTTTTGAAATTTACAAGCCACGTGTTAATTACTAATTACAGAAAATTAGCGTACATAAATCACTTACATGTTCTGGAAAACCATACCAACAATGTCTTGAATCCCATAACCACGGTTTCTGAAAAATATAATATATTTATTAATTAAATTGTTATAATGTACACATGGTTTTTAAGACACACAAACACAGTACAGTTCATCATTGCACCGAAACAGGAAAGATGATTTTTGTTTGTTCTTTTTGTTTTGTTTTACTGCACACAAACACAATTTACGTCATATCGCATTGAAACAGGGAAGATGATTTTGGCTCACTTTTCGTGATACAAACTTCAAAGCAACACCAGGGGTGAACAAAACCACCTCACCTTCTGCAGCTTTAAGAGTTGCATAGACTCCAGTAATTCGAACCCATTTAGTCGCCTCTTATGATCACCCAGGTGGCTGCAATTCTTATGCCTCAACCGTTTAAAGGCAACCCCGCAACCACAAGGGGCATAATGAAGACATGCCACAGTATTTTCATTTGAAGTAAAGGTAAATATTTATATTTATTGTTTTTTTTTCTTTTTAATAATATTTATTATTGCTTTTATTTCTTTCTCTAAAACTTATGATAGTAACTGCTACACAATTATGCCCTCTAAAAGCAACCACACAGCATTCAATTTATACTCAGTGCAAAAATCACTGTCATTTTTCTTGTATTTTACCTATGTACACAAATAACCAATCAAAATACAATTTAATATGCTAAATGAGGTCATACATGTAGGTTTCTAAGCACGACACTTGAAGACAATCACAAAACAAATACTAAAGAAGGAATAATATTTGTTGAGACTTCTTCAGTGATTAAAGAGACCTATCTAATAAATTAGTAACCCTTCTTAAAATGGATCTTATAAGCTTAAAGCTGCACGCCTCCAGATGAAAATATTTCAAGAAATTGAATCTTTAGAAAAATGTATTAAAATCTTAAGACAAGAGGGCCATGATGGCCCTGAGGTCGCTCACCTGTATATAGGCTGTCCCCCCCTTCCCCCAAAACATTGCAGGGCCAATTTAACCAAAGGGCTTTTATTTGCACAAACTTGGTAGACACCCATAAGAAAATGTTTCATGCTAAACATCTAAGCTCTAGCTCATTGGGCTATTTAAAAGAAGATTTTTTTAAAGTTTTTACTATACACATATAGTTAAAAACAATGACACGCCTGGGGCCGGGCCAGTTATGACCCCAGGGTTTTTATTTGAACAAACTTTGTAGACACTTACTAGAATATGTTTCATGCTTAATATCTAAACTCTAGCTATTTGGGTTTTTTCAAAGAAGATTTTAAGTTTTTGCTATACACATATAAGGAAAATCAATGACCCCGGGGCAGGGCCAATTTTGACCCCAGGTCTTTTATTTGAACAAACTTTGTAGACACTCACTAAAAGATGTTTCATGCTTAATATCTAACTCTAGCTATTTGGGTTTTTTCAAAAAAGATTTTTTAAGTTTTTGCTATACACATATAAGGAAAATCAATGACCCCCGGGGCGGGGCCAATTTTGACCCCAGGGCTTTTATTTGAACAAACTTGGTAGACACCTATTAGAACATGTTTGATGCTAAATATCTTAACCATAGCTCTTTGAGTTCTTTAAAAGAAGATTTTTAAGTTTTTACTATATGCATATATAGGGAAAAATCAATGACCCCCCCGGGCGGGTCAATTTTGACCCCAGGGCTTTTATTTGAACAAACTTGGTAGACACTTATTAGAACATGTTTCATGCTAAATATCTTAGCTCTAACTCTTTTGGTTCTTTAAAAGAAGATTTTTTAAGTTTTTACTATATGCATATAGGGAAAATCAATGACCCCCTGGGGCGGGGCCAATTTTGACCCCAGGGCTTTTATTTGAACAAACTTGATAGACACCTATTAGAACATGTTTGATGCTCAATATCTTAGCCATAGCTCTTTGAGTTCTTTAAAAGAAGATTTTTTAAGTTTTCACTATATGCATAAAGGGAAAATCAATGACCCCCCGGGACGGGGCCAATTTTGACCCCAGGGCTTTTATTTGAACAAACTTGGTAGACACTCACTAGAAGATGTTTCATGCCAAATATCTAAGCTCTAGCTCTTATGGTTTTTTAAAAGAAGATATTTAAAGTTTTTTCTTTCGGTTGCCATGGCAACCAGAGTTCTGCATGGAATTAAATTCTTTGAACAATTTTTAAAGGTGACCACCAAAGGAACATTCCTGTGAAGTTTGGATGAAATTGGCCTTGTGGTTTACGAGGAGATGTCATTTAAAGTAAAAGTTTACGGACGACGGACGGACGCCGGACGAAAAGCGATCACAAAAGCTCACCCTGTCACTTTGTGACAGGTGAGCTAAAAAGTAAAACTTGTCAATATTTAAATAATTATTTACATGTTATGTGCGATTAATGACTGATTTTGCAGTATCAATCACTATAATTCTATTGTGTTTCTAACGCAGTAACAGGTATTTTATGTATATTTTGACCTCTTTTTGGTAAATCACGTGGATTGTAAGCGCCGTTTGCAATGTGTAAATTACTTTCTATGTTCACTTAACAATATTTTCTTTTAAATATATTCTCAAAATTTTCGTTAAAATTAGCATGAATCTGGAGGCGTGCTGCTTTAAGAAACACAAAAACTTTATCAAGGAAGTAAAGTGATCTATGCACGTTTATCTTGCAGGTAAACCATTAAGTGCACTTCAGCACTATAACAATACAAATAACCCGAAAATCAAATAATACACCTTTTACAATTACTCAACCACATAAATAGATAAAGATTAAGATTAACTTCACGATTTTTCAATATTATCTGTATTTTACAAAACATTAAACCCTTGAAAGCACTCCTAAAAGTTTAAAGCTGCAGGCCTACAGATGAGCCCAAAGTATTTTAAGACAATCAATCTTGAGAAAATAATTGTCCTGACATTTTAAATAATGTTAATAGATTCAAGATAAAGTAATAATTTCCATGTTATGTGTGATAAGTCACTGATTTTGCATTATTTTTCAACACATTTCTACTGCATTACTAACACAGTAAGGGGCTCATCTTGAACAAGACAAAATTGTGAATAAATATGGCAACTGTCTTCCTCAGGATTTCTATTACTAATAAAGCACTCTTGAAACCTGCCATCTGAAAATCTTTTTTTCCAGCAAAACTGTCGAACCTAACCCTTTGGAGAAAAGTCAGTGGGTTTTGAAACTTGTTCAAGTGCCCCTCCATATGCATTATTTCAGGCACAAGCTGGTACTTGTCAGAGTAGAAACGCCAACATTCCCTAATCTAGCTGGATAGCTTATCCTTCCATAAAAGAATCCAAAGTCCCTGGTCAGATTTGAACCTACAGCTGTGAGGGACAAGTAGTCTGAAGTCAATATCCTTAACCACTTGGCCACGAACATCCCTTTAATCAGATACAGTTTTTAGCATTATATAAGTATTAATGACCCAAAATTCTATTAAATTTGACAATTATTATATTTGCCATTTTGTTCTTGAGGCCAATTGTTTGTAACAATTGTCTTAAAATAAAAGAAAATATACTTACATCCCAAAGAACTGAAAGGCCATATATAAATATTCCAAAATAGTATGTGAATCTCCAGCTGTAAAAAAACAAAACAAGAAGTTTATTACATATTTATTTGATTTAGTCTACTTTAATGTTAAAAACAATCCTAACATCGACCAAATTGGTTATTTCGGAATGTTATTTTATTTTTTTAAATCTTTAGCATGAGATTATTCACAATTACACATCCTTCATTGCTATGTATTTAATTTCGGTTATAAATGGTTGAAAATTATTGAATATTGGAGATTGTGAAAAGTAACATTCTGGAAATGTCCGATTTATAACGATATTGGCCGATTTTAGTAATTTTTTGGCGGAAGACTATACCTTAAAGTAATCATGTAATTTAACTTAATTTTGCAATCTGTGCAATGACGTAATTTTGCAATCTGGGCAATAACGTTATGTTGCAACAAGTGCAATAACAAGTATCAGTTTTGACATAATGGTCAGTGATCGGTCAGTTATGCTCTGGTCAACTTTGGACAATAACTTTTGCAATGACTATTTCATCATTTATTAATGTGAAACTTGATAGAAAATTGTTCCAAGCTGTTTCAGTGGGTTTTTTCCCCTGCTTTGGGAATGGTACTGAAAGATTGGGAATTTAGTATTTTGTATAACAGTCAATACTACACTGTTTACACTTTGCTACCTTTACATATCAACCCTACTTTTTTCAGTTGCTGACTTTCTTTCATGCTCTTAAAAACATTACCAAAACATTATCAAACACACGTTTAGCATTTTCTAAAGTATTTCAAAATTATAGATTTCTGAGACTCAAAGTGCCTTTAAAGGAATGAAAACAAAAAATCCATAGAAATCAATTCAATAAAAATATGTTTTCCAGCAATTCTCATAAATACTTTAACAGTATTTTCAATAATTGAGAAATTTTGATACTAATTTAAATTAATATCTCACTTTGATATTTCATCTATCAGTTTCTTTGACAAAAAAAAACAGGTGTCTTCATAAGCAAAATCAATAAAACTTTGAAAGATATTTCAGTTTATGTTACAAAACTTTCAGATGATCAAAGAAACATGAAATTTTCCCCGGAAGAATCAATTGATCTATACATACTTGATCAACCTCGATCAAAGCTCGGAAATATCACATGTGTCATGTTTAACAACCTATCATAGTGCGGTCTTCATTAGACCTGCTCTTATTAGAAGATTTTTTACCATTAAACAACCTTTTATGGCAATGAACTGAATCAGAAGATCTTTTACAGGTATCATTTATATCAGTAATGACCAATTAAAGGGACTCCACCAGTTAAGGCTTTTTTGACATAAAGGGACCGAAAATATTTTTTCAACTCTTTTGTATAACTGCAAGAAGGTCTTGGACCACTAACTTGTATACAAAATTTTAGATTATTTGCTCACTCTGTTTACTAGGAATGAACAATCTTATCGCCCAAATTGAAAAACTTTGCATGCTTTTCACTCAAATCGACCCAAATATGGCATAAAAAGTCGATTATCAATTTCATAGTGAGTATATTTATATATAATTATCTATAACATAGTTTTCCATTTAAGGTCGCCATTTGATTTATGAAAGAACTTCAAATTTTATAATTTTAAGCTATTAGACCTCAGTGGAGTCCCTTTAAAGCAAGCCTGTTTCCCAGTCACATTATTTTAGTCAAATCATACATTTCTGAGTAATTTTCACATAATTATTACAAACTCAGGAAGCCACCACAGTTTAACCACATAACAATAAATTGAAGACTCATTTTAATATGATTAATAATTATATATAATTTCCTTTAAAAAATTATGTATTACATGTATCAGGGAAGCAGTGGCCTAAGGTCTGTTATCCTAGAGTTGGTGGATATGAGCCCCTACAGTAATGCCAAAAGCTGCAATTCAATGATTTTTATTGCCCTTATTGTTCAGTGCTTTTTTCCCATAGATATATTTCCTATAAATATCTGTGCAAAAATAACTTTGAACAAAGTCGCAGTTTATTATTAAATGATTCAATGTTAAAAACACATAAGGAACTTTTGATTTGTATGTAATCTCATTGTCCTATCTCATCACCCTGATATCTCAACAACCCTGATATCTCAACAACCCTGCTATCTCATCACCCTGCTATCTCATCATCCTGCTATCTCATCACCCTGCTATCTTATCACATTAATATCTCAACACCCTGCTATCTTACCTCCCTGATATCTCAACACCCTGCTATCTCATCACCCTGCTATCTCATCACCCTGCTATCTCATCACCCTGCTATCTCATCATCCTGATATCTCATCACCCTGCTATCTTATCACATTGATATCTCAACACCCTGCTATCTCATCTCCCTGATACCTCAACACACTGCTATCTCATGACCCTACTATCTCAACACCCTGCTATCTCATAACCCTGCTATCTCATCATCCTGATATCTCAATACCCTTCTATCTCATAACCCTACTACATAATTTAACAATCTCCTCATTACCAAGTTGGTGATATCAGGTGTAAGTAAACAATTAAAACATAATTATAATAGCTACATTGTACTAAAACCAGAGAATTTCCCTTTATTAAATTAAAACTCACCCTGTTTCTGTAAACTTTTTCATAACAGTAGGTCTATCTTGATTTCTTCTTAATCTAAACCATCTCTCCACCTGCCTTTCTTGCATGTCTGTACGCTTTGCATATTTCTAAAAATAGACATATAAAAAGGTTTTCTGTAAAATCCATAGAACATGCTGAAAATAAAGTTAATTATCTTGGAAAAATAAGCATGATTAAAGAATCTCAACTGTAGTCAAATTCCCTAAAACACTTTTTTTAGTTATAATGTGGACAAATATTGTGAGATGAACAGACAAAGACTATTACTACCGTACAAGGTTTTTCCTGGCCCATTTTGATGAGCAATATTGGGACCATTGTTCCCAATTTCAAAAAGTAGTCTTTTTTTCCCCCAATTCCAAGGAGAATATTCCCAATTCCAGGAACAAAAAATAAAAATTTTCAGTGAACTTATTCTCATTTTCTTACATTTCACTACACTGTGCCATAGAAAATTGAAATCTTGAATACCAAATTGTAATAAGTGCTTATGGGCTTTAATTTAACTATATATATTTGATTTCTTTTGTCTCTTTTTTTAAAGTATTCAATATATTGTCAGTTTTTCCCAATTTGGTCATGTTCCCAAAGTGTTGAGAAAAAAAACTGCCATATCTCCATACTGCCTTTGAGGCAGAGAATTAAACTAATGTATGCATAACTTGAAGGTAACTGAAATAATTTTCTGTTTTGCACCAACACAGTATAGGTCAAATGGCAACTTTCCAGCTTTACTGGTGGAGGAAGACCTCAGATGCTCTTCCATGTTTTATTTCCTGCACGAATGGGCAACCTGAGTAGAACCAATGTTCCGTAAGCTAGCTGGATAGATTCCTCACATTCAAAGAATCAAAAGTCCCTGTCAGGATCCGAACCCAAAGCAGTGAGGGATAAGTGGTTTGAAGTCAACGACCTTAACCACTCGACCACGGATGATCCCAGTACCACGTAATACATACATATCACATTATTTATCAAACCTTTAAAAATTCGGTCAGTCCAATTTTTTTATGAATTGAAACGTGACCTGATATATAATGATGTCAAATATATACAAGATATATACATATGATATGAATAATTCGACAGTATTTAATGAAAGAAAATCTACTTCACGTCTGATTATACATTCTAGTTAGTAAATAACCCGAGTTAGTTTAGGTCTTGCACCAGTGAGCTTAAATGATCTGTTCTTTTTATCATTACTACATACACTTGTGAAATTGGGAGGGAAATGTAAATAATTACACATAATTTGTCCACTTAAAATAATAGAAACTAGAATAATGTTAAAGAACTTGTGTGTGTTTTATATTTTTTTGCAGCATTTTTTTTATTTCTACTTGAATCTTGAATCTTTTTACTTTTCTTAAAATCTTATTACATTTTTCTCGAGTTTAATTTTCTTGAAATATTTTTAGCTCATCTGGGTGCATGCAGCTTTATCACTACCATTAGTCAATATTTAACTGGTATAATAAGGATGGACAATTTTTTAACAAGAATTCAAACTATTAAAATCTACTCTTTTTTTTTTAAACAAAGACAAAATATCCGATTTACATGTACATGATTGTACAAGTATTTCTTTGAATTTATGTTGAATTTAAGAAAATAAAAACCGGATTGTCCATTATCTTAAATTCATCAGGTCAAAGGGTTATAAAAAAAACAACCTTTATAACAATGAATACCGTAAAATTCCTAATAAACGCCCCTCCCCTAATAAAGGCCCCCCAGGCCTTTTGATAAGGAAAACAATCTACTCATCAGTGCTGAACTCATAATTAAAGCCATAATTTTATTCAAATCATTCAGAATCCATAGTTTTTAATAGTAAACACAAATATGTATAATATGAACTTTAAAACCTTATCACTTTTTAGTGTTAATACCAACACTTGCTAACACTAAATGTATTTACAGTGATTTTTTTTATTTAGGAAAAACTGTGTTGTAATAAGAGCCCCCCTTTTGGAAAATGTTAAGCCCCCGGGGGCGTTTATTAGGAATTTTACGGTATATATATTTAATCTCAAGCTATAGATACCCTCAAATGATCAGCAATCTTTTATCTACATAAACTTTCACCTGCTATGCATAGTATACATGTTTATCTACATTGTGCACAAAATTTTTATCAAATGTTATCATATCATTATTATCAATACAAAAATCACATAAAACTTAACTCTTAACACACACTTAAGCCTTAGCCTTCAAAACTGATTAATTAATGGACAATCACTTTATCAAGCCTTTAATTTCAGAACTTTGTCCATCATCTAGGGTGTAATTTATATTAACAGATTGGCAATTAATATCATTTGTTGAAATGCTGTTAAAATTGATTTTGTTTTTTCAGCTTGTAGATTAAAATATCCATCTTAACCCTTTGCCAAACCGTTTTTTTTGTTGACATATATCTTTTGCCTCAATGAAAACCGTATCATCAATTTTAGGGATAATCCAGATGAAAATGTATGGACATCGGTCAGACCTCAAGTGTAGGCAGGGTCACTTTCGTTGTGATTAATCATGAAATCCTTTCTATGTTCATTCACACAGTACCTCCCCTTTGGCATATACAGACGTTTTCAGTTCCTTGCAAAAGTGATGGCAACTGAGTACTGGTTAACTGCTTGGTAGCCTTCGCAGGAATGATGTGGTGGCTGGACTTTGCTTTGGTAAATTAAATCTGGCTTACTACCGTGATCCCGAGTGAAAACTACCAACAACACCACACCACCAGGAAGTGCAGGATGGCCTTTCTCTTTCAGTGGCGTGCAAAGCATATGTCATATGACTATGAGTTTCAATTCAAGCAAGGCGAGGGTTAAAAAAAATGTTTTTAACCCTTTGATGCTATCATTATTGAAGTGGTCCACATATATATCTATTAGATAAACATATCAGATGTAATAATTTTTTTTATCTTTCATTGTTATATATGGATAGGGCAATAATGAATCAATTCTCACACTGATAGAAATGTAGCCATTGGTAGTAAAAATTTACATTCAATGATATAAATAGAAATGTGTGTTTAATGAATAAGCATTATAACGTTATAAGTCAAGACTATTTATTGGTTAATTTTTTGTACATTATGACCAAAGTGAAATAATTTTCAAATATTTCATTGACAAATATCATGATGTTTTTTTTGCTATGTTGTATGAGAGAAAAAAACTTATTGCCTCTAAATGTACTGCGGAACTATCCATTAAAACAATATTATTGAAATTCCCGGGGTCATGTATTGAAAAACTAAGAATATCAGATTTGCTATATAATTATATATGTGTATTATATTTATTTTACATTATTAGTTTAATTTCCATTGTTTACTCGATATACAAAATACAAAGTCCCATTATTATTGTGTGCAATACAAAGTTTAAGGGGAATGGACATTGGTAATTTTTTCTAAGTGCCACTTTCCTCTCTTTAATAACTTCTTATAACTTTAAAAGGAATAAAAAATTAGTTCGGATCTTTGTATAACAAAAAGAATAGGAGAATAGCTAACTTAGACACTGACTAAAAAGCAAATGTCAAATTATGTTATACATTATTATATTACAACTTTATACATAACATGTATTATGTAATTTAACAAAATGGGTCACTAATCAAAACCTATCTTGGAAAATAACAAACTTTTCAAGTTTTACATTGTTGTTTTTTACATTGTTTATAAATGTGCACATTACAAATTTTCTAGGAATTCCCTTTCTAAATGTCTATATTCAATGTACATATGAATACACAAAGTGACCCATATGCAAACTTGAGCTAGAAATCATCTAAACAACCTTTCTGACTTATTTCCAGGATATTTCCAGAATATTTGGGCTGAAAATATTACCTGTAGTGTAAACAAAGTTTTTTTTAAATATCTGGGCTGTGTGACCTAGTTTTTGACCCCAGATGACCTATATTCAAACTCAAACGCGGAATCATCTTTGTGGCCTTTCCCAAGACCCTAGATGACTAAAACTTTCACTTGAAATTGACTTAGAAATCATATGAACAACCTTTCTGACCAATATTCAGGATATTTTGGCTGTAAATATTAACTCTAGAGTGCTAACAGGGTTTTTCCACATATGGTCTGTGGCCTAGTTTTTGAGCCCAGATGACCTATATTTAAACTTGGAGCTAGCCATCATTAAAACCAACTTTCCTGACAGATTTCCCAGATATCTGGACAGAAACAGTAGCCTCTAGCATGTCTACAAGATTTTTCCTTTTTTTAGTTCCTGTGACCTAGTTTTTCATCCGAGATGGCCTATGTTCAAACACATCTGATCAATCAATGGGACAAAAACTTTTACAAGGTTTGGTGACAATTGAGGCAAAAATATGGCCACTTGAATGTTTAAAGGGCAGATGACGGACAACTGATATTAAACAATCTTAAAAGCTCTCCCTGGAGTGGCTCAGTGGTTAACGCATCAGACTAATAATTTATATATGACTGACAGCGTGGATTCAAACCCAGTCAGAGGGCAGCTGTTGTTTCCTTGAGTAAGAAACTTTACATTCATTGCTCAGTACTGGTGGGTTCCAGAAACGAATTTGGAGTGTTTTAATATTAAGCTGATAGTTTCCAACACAATCACACTAAACTAAATTTGTATAAACTAAATAATGAATTATAAGAAATAATAACCCAAAGAGTGAAAATGTAACTCATACATTGTATCTAAGTCATGTAATAGATCCAGTGTTTTTTTCCCCTGCTTTGGGAATGGTGCCAGTACCGGACAGATTGGGAAAAAATCCATCGGTTTGACTCAATTAAATTGAGAAATTTACTTAAGATGCAAAATATTCATTGGGAATTTCTTTTATCCAGGGAGACATGAATATTATGCATAATATACACTTTAAAACCATGTATTATTAACTTTAATGATTATTTTTGCTACTTGAGGTTGAAAAAAAAATTGATAATCATTACAATTGTACATAAATCATGTTTAGGTGTGAAACACTAAATTTAAAAAGTACAAAATGAGCAGGGTCCGAATATCACTATTAGAACCAATAGTAGTGCCCCACATTAATGTATCATAACATTCAATGGGGAAGAGAATGATTTAAATAAGTAAGCAAGATGACTTTCTTAAATGAATGAAAGCCCATGAACATTACAGAATAAATAAGAAATAAGACCATACCTGTATAAGTGTTTTATTTGGATTCTTTTTATGCCGATACTCTTCTTCCAGTATATTATTCGTGGGAGCCTTTCTAGTTCTTTCATTTTTTAATCCACAATAAAATCCAAAAGGTGTAACAACAAACCTGCAAATAAAAAGAAATTCATAATTCTAATTTTTACGGTAAATTAACAAAATAAGAGCAATCAGTGATCACTTGTGTCTAAACTATGTACAGGGTTCTTGGGGACGCTTATTTCGGCGTCCCGGTACGATGTTTATTACAGCTGGACGCAAATTTTTCAGAGCAAGGATTCCATGTACCCTTAATTTTGCCTTGGGACGCATAAACATTACCGATTGTTTACAACCACAAATACGTCAGCGCGTGTCAGTCTATAGGTACATGTAGGCGGTCCTATGCACATCGACTTGTGAAGCGATTAGCCAGTTAGCGATAACGCTTCCGATCATTATCACGCAATAGTGATCAGACTAATGAATACACGCGCTGTACATGTAATTACCAGATATAACACGAGGTGATAATTTTATATCTTTGATCAACAGTTGATTGGAAATTAGCAAATTTTACCGACTAAAGGATAAAATTATCGACTATTAATTTACGCCGCAAGTTTAAAGACTGTTCTCTCAAATTTATTACAAATGAGTGTAATTTTGAATGACTGTCAAATATTTTCGGCATTTTCTAGGCACAATTTTGCTTTAGTTTCATTCTTGCAAAAACGTTCTATAAAAGTATTTAGAATTTAAGATATTGTGCCGAAATGCCAGGACAACAAACCAAAATACAAATACGCTTTTCTTTGATATTTAGATTCTATCCGAAAATTGATCCCGAACATCAGCGATTTCACATTCGCCAGAAACCCTAAAATTTTGCAAAAATTTTCAGTTTCCAAGCTAGTCCAATATATTAGACGTTACAGGCTTGTTATAGTTTTTGTCGGTCAAGCCTGACGTCTAATAGTTATTGCTCAAAAACGCATAGCATCATAAAAAAATCAAAAAATGTCTATTGTCTTGCCTTTCAAGCTTTATTCAAAAGCTTATCATATTTTCTTTCAATTTCATGCTCAATCATACACAAAAACTTTCAAACGATGTACTTATCAGTTTAAAATAAAATATAAACATCAATCTATTTTTGTCTGTCAGCCATACTGGTTAAGCAAGGTGCTTTACAGATTGATTCCAAATTTTTGAAAGGAAAAATATATTCGAACACACTGACGGTGCATGGGCAATTATTTCGTTAAAAAAATATTCCGTTAGATTGTTCTGACTCATTTAAACGCTTGCATTTGAATAAGCCAATCAGATTTCGCGCACTTTACGGCCGCCATTTGTTTATCGGCTGTAAAAGGAATTGAAATCCATGAGAGGATTTAATCATGATTTTTCGGATGTGACAGTTAAATTATTTTGACAAAAGGTATTTATTTTTTAGTTTTGTTCATAAATAGGTCAACAATTATGTAAATACACGCTGTCTTCATTGTTTTTCGTTCCGCCCGATTTTCTGGCGGAACATGCTATGGGTTTTTGAGCAATTTCGATATGACGTTGCTTTGCCCAGATGCAAAAATATCTCAAAGCGACGTCATATTTATAGGACTATTTCCAAGCCAAACATGTGAATGAATTGTTCCTTGTCGCAAAATGCATGAGAACAAATTGATGAAAAGTGATGAAAAACAAAAATGTTAAAAAGCGGCTTTAAAGTTTTGGAAGCCAGAACTACTCAATAATTATAGGCTGGGTATTCTGGTAATGTAAAATTATAACTATTCTGAAGAATAATAATACGCGGAGTGACAGTTTCCAAACTAGCAGATGACAGGCTTTTCTTATCAGTAGAATTGCAAGTAAAGATAACCGATTGCGTATCTCACTGTATACAATAGGGCTGTAACAATACAGCAAAAACCGTATTGCAATATATTGCCATTTTGCTGAAGCGTATTGCAATATATTGCAATACGTATTGTCGTGTATATGGTTTGATGTAAAGATGGAGTAACATTCATATATTATTATTATATGTATATATTTTTAGTAGAAACTTAATAAAAATGTAAGGAATAAATAGAAAGTAAAGTGTCACACTATTTGATAAACAAAACTAGTCGCGTGTGACCTTTCACATCTGGGCCGCTTATGTAAATTATGCGGCCGCTTATTGATTTTTAAGTGTACTAGTTGTCGGATACTTTTATCTTATGTTGGCGCACAAAATTCGCCAATTAAAGATTTTATGTGAAATTTGTACAAAATTAGAAGGCAATTAATTGAAAATTATGATTTTTATAAAATACCGGTTTTCCAAAAATCGTACCGCGGTACGAAATTTATTTTTTCATATTGCAATATATCGGTATACCGTTACACCCTTAGTATACAATGTCCTATAAAACGTATGTAAAATGGTCTGACTTGTGGTAGGTTTAACCGTAAATTTAAATACCTTAAATGTCAAACAATGTGTTCAAATATACACTTAGACGAAGCTAAGAGCACAAGCTTTTCATTGGTATAAAAAATTTTAAAATCAAACATTGAATCGCCCCAAACTAGCGGTTTAAATACAGCTAAATTTGCATTGTTTTGCATTAGAGATATCGATTTTACTCGAAGCTAAGGGAAACAACTCGTGTTTTTTCACTCGATATACCTCGGTTATTTACGTAGTTCATATAGAGACTGTCAATGGGTGTATTGTCGAGTATTCCGAGTGAAAACGATCCGGAGGCGGTGCATGAAATACCGAACTACACCTTTAAAAGGGAAAAATGAACAATTTCTTAACCGACTTCTCCATAGGCTTTGTCTAATTACATATTATATATTTTACTTTTTTAATTTAATTTCCTTTTAAATATATACACATATAGTGTATAATCTATAGCCGGGAAGCGGGCCAGGCTTTGACTTCCCGAATAAAATTATCTATTTGCAACAAGCACACCCTAACTGAGTAACACCTTCTGACACTCCCAACACAGTAATAAATTCATGAAATTTCTCAAGTAAGTTGAGTCACAACTAACATAAACTCTATTTTGACAAACAGGAAAAACTCGTATTTTCATTGCTAAATGTCTGATATGTGTAACTTTTCCTGCAATGCAGGTAAATAACATTTTGAGTATTCTCAACACAACTGAAATATCAGAATGAAGTTCATGTGGTGGGGTGATGAAAACATGTGATGTGACCGTATGACCTACTTTTCATACAGCAGCCGAAACACGTAGAGTGCTAGAGCTACCCCGATGGCAACTAACAAGTCTTTGGTCTCCGGGAAGTATTTACCACTCCCTGGCTTATTTTTGAGTATTTCCCATGTAGTATTTTTAGGTAACCAAAACCATTCACTCCAGAATATAGAATACAGCTTTTGAAATAGCCAAACCATTTTGCTGTAAATAATCCGACGCGAGATCGAATGTTCACTTGGTTTTCAGCTTCATTAACATATTTATCGCGCCGGGTACCAATATAATGTAGAGGATAAAAGCCGAAGATATCTGAATGATATATACTTGATTTATTTATTTGCATTATATGTGAACCCGTTGACGCTTAATCGAGTAATTGTTGTGACTGATCCGACTCCAGGTCATTTCGCACTGGGCATTTGGTCACAGGGCAGGGTTTTTTTTTTTCAAACCGGATACAACGTTAAGTAGTGGCATGGTGCCAGATCTGTTATATTAATCTCTATAAATTAACGTGCATTTAGGGAATAAGTTTTAACCCTTATCCTATAAAAAATAAATATCTTTGGTGACCAACCTCAATGGAGAATGTCCACATTTTTCATTTATTTCAAGTATTTTCAAATATTGATTAAAACAATACATTATTAGGATATTCTCATAAAACAATTCCTGAAAAAATGTTATAAGTGTTTTTATTTTAGTATGAACGATCATGTAATGAGTATTAATAATTTGTTCTTGACAATTATATTAACATTTAAAACACACTTAACAACAACATCCATATATAATTCTTTCGTGGTTTGTCGACATTATGTCTGCTACTAAATACTATCAACATAATTATTTAAGGTATTGCAAATCTCCCATTATGGACCCATTAACTTTAAATCTGTCCGTCAAATAAAGCTCTTTGTCTTTCAGGTGCATATATTTTGAAAACCAGATTATTATTATATGTCCGAAGACATTTCGAACTTAAATTTTAATGCTTATTAGTTAAATTGTTACATCATTCATGCTTACGTATTTTATGCAAATAAAAGAGTTCAAAAGTAAGACATTAGCTCAACATTTAGATTTAAGGGACTGTTTTTATTAACAAGAAGATGTACTAGGTTTTTTCGTAGGTAGATGCTTAGATCTTCCTCTTCACTGACGAAGAATTATCAACTGAAAGCATCTGCTGTCTGTCTGTAGTTAATGCTTAATGAGGGTCCATCCGCCCGTAAGGGCACAAAAAGCAGCTTTCGCTGTCGAGTACGGACCCCGGACATGTCACCAGTCATGCTCTTAAAGAGTTAATTTTGAAGCACAAAGTAGTGATAATTTACCTCCATGCAATTTCCACGGAGTATTAGCCAAATATATGAATTTTGAGCCAAAAGAAGGTCACTGTACGGCGGTCAATGAGAACCTTAATGTACAGTAACCTGTGACAATATGAAAGGGTAGTTGGTGTTGGTGCCAGCAAAAGGCCAGCCTTACAAGCCGTCTATCTGTACTAGGGGCTCACGCACCGTAGCACACCATCCTCGTCGTCTCAGCCTACATCGTATGGCCACTCCCCTCGGCATTGAAGTTATTGAAGTGTTTAAATGTTAAATAAATCATTAATGGGTAGGCTAAGTTTATTATAGAATGATATAAATTAGAGAGAAAAATACTTTAATGAAGGATTTACATGTTTAATAAATTGGTAACTATTTTCAATTGATATAAACTAAATTAGAAAACTTATTTTAGCATATTAGTTAATTATTCTGATTTTTAGCTCGACTATTCGAAGAATATGAGAGCTATTGTAGTCGCCCCGGCGTCCGCGTCCGCGTCGGCGTCTGCGTTGGTTAAAGTTTTTTGCAAAGTCAAATATCTCAATCATTACTTGAGATATTCAATTGAAACTTACAATACTTATTTATAGTAACAAGGTACATCAGATTGACAAGTTGGATAACTCTGCCTACAATATTGACAGAATTATGCCCCTTTTTAACTTAGAAATTTTGGTTAAAGTTTTTTGTAAAGTCAAATATCTCAATAATTACTTGAGATATTCAATTGAAACTTACAATACTTATTTATAGTAACAAGGTACATCAGATTGACAAGTCAGATAACTCTGCCTACAATATTGACAAAATTATGCCCCTTTTTAACTTAGAAATTTTGGTTAAAGTTTTTTGTAAAGTCAAATATCTCAATTATTGCTTGAGATATTCAATTGAAACTTACAATACTTATTTATAGTAACAAGGTACATCAGATTGACAAGTTGGATAACTCTGCCTACAATATTGACAAAATTATGCCCCTTTGGAACTTAGAAATTTTGGTTAAAGTTTTTTTGTGAAGTCAAATATCTCAATTATTGCTTGAGATATTCAATTGAAATTTAAAATACTTTTTTATAGTAACAATGTACATCAGTTTGCAAAATTGCATAACTGCCTGCAAAATTTGAAGAATTATTTGCCCCTTTGAAACTTAGAAATTTTGGTTAAAGGTTAAAGGTCTTCAAAGATATTTACTTGAAACTTTACACATGCACTTAGGGTCATAATTGGAGGGTCATAATTGTATTTCACTGACCAAGTTCCATAACTCTATCTTGCATTAAGGCTGATTCATATCTCCTTTTCTACTTAGTCTCTTGGTTAATGTTTACATGCAAGTTTTACATATCTCAATAACTATTAAAGATATTTATTTAAAACTTCACATATGCATTTAGGGTCATAATTGTAGGTCACTGACAAAGATCCATAATTCTATCTTGCATTTAGGCTGATTTTTCTCCCCTTTTTCAACTTAGAAATTCATGGTAAAGTTTTGCTTGTAAGCTGTTATCTCAATTACTGAAGGGTTTGTGCCTTTTTTTGGGACAATTGTATGCATTCATAATAATAAAGCAGCCTACATCGTATGGCCACTCCCCTCGGCATTAGTCAGGACACCGGAAGCTGGTCCGCAGTTGTTGGCGAAGTAGCGATCCCGTTGTTACAGCCTACGGGGGGCTTCTATTTAGTTGAGTTGAGTTTACTACCAGTCAAGCTGTAAATCTTCTGCGGATGCCCTGTGCCTTCTCAGCGACGTGCACGCTCCGAGGGAAGTGAGAAGTGAAAGCATCTGCATGTCCCCGAATATATTATGTACGTCAAGTCGGCATATTGCTCCAACGCACAATGATTTGTTTAAGAGAGTTATATCGCAGGGAGCTCAGCAGTGGCCCAGGCTAGACGGAATTAGTGATAAACTTTCATCTAAAGCCAGTTTTGCTGATATTAATTTTGACTCTATCTGTCCATTTTATTTTTTGATACTCTATTAAGTTTCAAATTTTGGAAGTCAGAATCTGCAAAACCTGTGATAGTGGAAGTCACATTATATATGTAATGAAGGAAAAGCATTTTAAACTGGAAGTCACAATGCCAAAATCAAGGAGTAAATGACTAATGAAAGGCCTGATCAACATGTCAGATCGATTAATAGTCAAAATTTTAATTATATTGTTTCGATAATCTTATTATCGATTCTTCGCAGAGTTGTCTCTGTTTTTATCACACATGTTATGGGATATAACAAAGTAAAGAGTTTCGGAACAAAATATTATAACTCTGCTGTTCATGGTTTTAGTAGGGTTTATTTCTTTTAACTGTTTAACAATGATTTTGCGCCATTCTCTCTTAATTAAGGAAATATTCCAACCTATTTCTTTCATACAGATATTTTGGAAGAATTCGTTTTCAAAATTAAAATTACTTTTGAAGCAGATATTATACAAATATGGACTTTTTAGCTGTTGAATATGATGTGATATGTACTGAAAAAATTAATATTGACCTCGGCTATCGCCTCGGTCAATATTAATTTTTTCAGTACATATCACATCATATTCAACAGCTAAAAAGTACATATCTGTTTTATTATATAATTTATAAATAGCTTTTATATGGCTTATCAAATCTGCCATTGCATATGACGGAAATCATTATTTTTCAGCTTGTCTACTGTTTCAATAATTTGGTCCTTTCCATTGGCATGCTAATCCCTATTTTTCTTAAAAATGAAAAACGGTAACTAAAATAGACTAATTTGACTCTGATGTACACCCAACTCAACATTTTTTTCAGAATAATAACAACAAACTTGGTGTTACGTCATGTCAAAGTCTCGTGTCTTTTAGGGATTTCCAGAAAATCTATTTTTAGAAGAATAACCGGTGAATATACTCTGAAAATCTATTTTTAGGAAAAAAACAGTGAATATACTCTGATATTGACCTGTTATTTTTTACAAAAAGTTGCTTGTTAGCCAATCAGGGAAAGGCCTTTCAAAGCTTTTTATAGATTATATAATAAATAGTTTTATCACACACCCGTGCCGATTTTGCGACTCCGTAAATATGGTATTGCACGGCCGTGCATATATTTTGACGTGACGTCATTAGCGTTATACAAACATAGTGTAAAGACGCGCTAAATGTTAGCGTTATACTATAGGCGCGTCGATGAAAAATGACTCTTATTTCACTTTAACGGTCTTTATTTTTGGTATGTGATAAATAGGATATTGAATGAGTGTAAGTTCAATACTGAATTTAATATTGCACGACTTGAATAAAATTATATTGTGCGAGCCTTTGTACTTTGAATAAAGTTTTATGGACTTTGCATTTTCTTAAAAATGGCATTTTCTTTGCATACTGCATATAATGTTAGTTTTACCCGCATTTGCAATTGCACGGCCATCTTGGCCCGGTTAATGTGAAAGATAAAACATTACAGCACATCTTAATTTACAAATTATATAGTTTTGATTAAAGCTAAACTATATATAAATTGGCGAACTTACGCCAGGATGAGTAGTAGCTAATTCTACCATGTGTCAATTGTTTGGAACATTTTGTTAACTTAGTGTGTAAGGGCATAATAAATTAATGCTAGTCATAAAGAGCAGGACATAATGAGGATTGATTAATAGCGAGCTCGACGAGCTGGCCCGAAGGGCCTGCTCGCAAAGCGAGCTTTACGGTAACGCGAGTACCTGCTAAGTGATGGTTTCGAAAACTTTCGTCCAAAGTACCAAATTGGACACATCGCAACCTTTCGAATTTAAAGATAACGGTAAAAACTGAGGAATTCTGACTGAAAACGGATGTGTAGACTGGTCACCCGCGCACGTCTATGGGAACCATAATTGGACAGGGAACCAGAATAACGGAAGCTGTGTATAAAAAATGAAAATCGAAGGCGCCATTTTGTTTGAAATCTGATAAATAAAAACAATTTTTTGTCGAATTTTGTTGTGAAAACTATCTAGAATGAAAGAAAATGGTCTAACTAAGAAAATGAATCCGAACACCAATATCTTTTATTCAGTCGTTAACGCTGTACAGACGTTTAAAGTATTGTTTACGTGACGTCACAATGTAGCGCCAAACAGCGCGTGCAAAACAAACAAATCAAGTACGCTATTTTAATGTCGCAAACGTTTTAAGTTTTACATTTATTTCACTTAAAACAATCTTTATTTCGCTTGAAAAATTATAGAGTGAAATAAAATAAACAAAGTTTTATCAACGTTTTCAAAACTCGTTATTCGTTTCACGACAGGGACGGGGCCATATTTAACAGGCTGAGTACGTGTGACGTCACACCCACTCGTCACTGCATTTGAGATTATTTCATACTATTGGAAATCACGTAAAAAGTACATCGAGTTCGCTTTGAGGCTTTGCCTTTTTCATATTATATTATTTTGACACTTCATTACATATCGTTTCAACGTTCGCATGCAGGCAAAAGTGATAAAATCATTAAAATATATGCCAATGTTATTAAATAGTTGGTAATGTTTATTGTTTTAAACAATTACTGCTTCAATACCATTATAATATTGTCGATATTATAATGTTTTTAATTAAAAGGTGGGCTTGTAAATTTCATTATTTTATCTAAAATGATAATTTCAATATAAAGATACAGTGTGTAATAGAAGTGTACAACACAAAGAAGGCATGCAACTTTAGTTTCAGTTTTTATTAAACCAAGGCATATACTATGCAACTGGTTATAACAAACAAACAAACAGAAAAATAACAGAAAAAAACCACTTATATCACAATAAAAGAATACAATTATGACTAGCTAAATAAACAAAAAAAAGGAGATCATATTGTTCCCTTCAAGTACTGACTTCAATACAACAAGTATTTTACATTGTAACAAATGGGAACGGAGAATGAGAATTAATTAAGTATTAATTATCTAATTTTTAACATAATGTTTTTACAAAATAAAAATAATTTTAGTAGAATCTTTTTATCACAACTATTCATTAATCTGTCAAGTTTAAAAATATTGGGATGAATATAAAACCTGGAAAGAAGAGATTTACGGCTTATATGTCATTAATTAAAGTACGAATTTAACATTTAAATAAACTTGTAGTGAAATTCATCACCATGTAGCTTAATACGGACATAAGGAACAGAGCCTCTTATTATGATCAATTGTCAAATGCCTGCCTTTTTTCAATTGGTAATATGTGCAATATCATGTAGAATAAAATGTTTGATTTACCATATTTAAAGTATTGCCCTGTTTAAACAAGTCTTCGTGATACTCAAATTTTCATATGATAGCGTATTATTGGAATCCGCTTCTTAACATTTTGATCGATTTATCATAATCAAGCACTCTACTGTATACTTCCTTTTCCGGTTTGCGACCAAATACTATCGCAGGTATAATCAATGCTGTGTGTTTAAATCTCAAAACAGCGATGTTAATAGATGATGTTATGTCCATAATATTGTTTAAAGTCATACTGCATATGTTATTCTTCTGCTGAAAGAATATAGTTTTGATGTAACACACTGTTTTCACTGATTAATTGCATGTTGTTTACAATCAATGTCTGCATTAACATATATAGGCCTGTAGTTACGATTCAAGTTTTCTTGCGTATCGAGACTAACTTTTGATGTATGATTTTTATTTACTTCAGCCATGGGCAAATTTATGAAACCAGGGAAGGTTGTCCTGGTACTTGGAGGCAGATTTGCTGGCAGAAAGGCTGTTATTGTAAAGGTAAATTTGTGCATTTAATTTTCGCATGTCAATCTGTGTTATCAGCATCTATATTTTAGACAGTAATAAGCTGCAAATACGTTATAGGCCTGTTATAGTTTATTTTAGTCAAGCCGTATGTCTAATAGCTACTGCTCATAATTAAAGTCATAATAAGTTGATAAAATTTCTTTTACTTTCATTGCGATCATTAGTCCTACACTTAGTCAAAATATATTGACGTGCCAAAGCTTGATTCTGAGATATTTTCGTTTTGGGGCAGAATCTCGCTTTAACGTCAAAACCAAAAGGAGACCTTTCTGTGGTGAAACGTGGATTTCGATGTAAATGTGAAAATGCAGACAATTTAAACTAAGACTTTATTCAACAATACAATTTTAAGGAATTAACAGCACAAAAAGTGCCAGACTATCAACTTAGAATAAAGTAAACCACGTTAGTTTCATTTCACCGTCTCATTTGTGTAACAACGCCGCCATATTGTGATGTTGCTACAGTAATGTAACATGTACGCTAAAAATCGATATTGTTCGGTACCTTGCGTGAATGTTGTCATTTTTTTTGCGTGGCTAAAAAAATATGTAAAACTATTAAAAAGTGGAAATTTTTCTTAAATGATGTTATTATTAATTATATTTATTGCCACAATAAAATAAATCGCCAGGAAATTATCTTTAAATATTTTTGTAATTCATGATAGAAATCTTTAAAATGATGCGGGGTAACTTTTAATTTAGTCCTCTTTTTTACAAATATGTTTATTAAAGGTTAAGGATAAACAAAATACTATATTTCATTAAAATGTATATTGTCATCAATCTATGTTAGTATAGTTATGTTAGTCACAACTTGCTGTGTATTAAAAACAGCAACTCCTTGCCTATAGGAAAGTTTTGTTTTTCAAACATGCATTACGCTATGAAAGAATTCAAATGGTAAATTCTTGCGTTAATTTTTCATTCCTCAACTGTTTTCAGAAAAATAAAACTCGTTACTCCGAGCACCCATTTTTCGTTTGTCTGTATCTGAAAGAACCTGTGTACATGTACCATTTATCCGTGTAATAAAAGACTGTTATCATAGCATGCCGTAATGGCCTGGATATTTCGTGTTGTTTAAGCGATGTTCCAGAAAAGTTTTGCAGAAAAGTTTTGTCCCGGTATAGAAAATATATTCAACCTAATATTTATTTTTAAAATGTGTCAACTACATGTATTCCACAACGCCGACACCGGTACGCTGGCCAATATACACTTCGGAAATGTTGACACTATTAATAATTGATGCGCAGTCCTGTTTCTTCCTTACTTAATTTCTTTGTGTCAACTATAAATTTATAAGATTAAATTTTAAATAAATAAATTTGATTTTTTAAATTCGAGCCGTGATTCCTTTCCGGAATCAGTTAAACAATTTCCATGCTGACACGGTCCAAATTTTTTTTTTTTTTTTTTTTTTTTTTTTTTTTTTTTTTTTTTTTTTTTTTTTTTTTTTTTTTTTTTTGAGGCCCCAACTGGGTAACCCCGTTTATTTACCCCGTAATAGGTATGAGAGGGTCGGGGTCATCCCTCTGATACCTTACATGATATATACATAATATTTAAATCATCATCTATAATAATATTTTTTTATATAATTATAATATACATTATATTCAAACATTCAATCAATTTTCATATAATATGTATAACAATTATGTATGATAATGTATTATGCAACAGCTTCAAAACAAACAAAGAATATTGGTTTGGGTAAATTGATTTAGTGTAGCCTATTAGTTTATTAAAGTTCTTACAATTTGCCATCCTTCATTTACATGTTTGGTCAAATTTGTATTTTTGTAAATATTCCACGCCAATTTAAGACTATTTCTAAAACCAGGTATTGTAGGTAACACGATTTTTTCTCTTTGACAAATAAATATATCTTTTCAATTCTAAAAACAAAATATCATATTTAAAATCATTAACTTCAGAACCTAAAATAAATGATTTACAATTAAAATTATCATCCAAATTATCTATCTTGTCTTTCAGATATTGAAATAACAATTGAATTTTTGGACATTCCCAAAATAAATGCAACAGAGTTTCCTCTTGGCAATTGCAAAAAGTACACATTTTACTATTGACAATTTTCATTTTGAATAAAAGTGAGTTTGTTGCTAAAGTTCTATGAATTATTCTTGTCTGAAACCACTGAATATAGGAATCTTTGGTACATTTAAATACATAACTATATATTAAATTCCAATTTATATCAAAATTTGTAAAAAATGAGTTCCATTTTTCTTGACATGTTGGTACATCTTGATTTTTAACTAGAATATCATAAACATATTTCTTTTTGATATTTTGTGTAATTAAAATAGGTTTTATATAACAACTCATAATAGGGTATTGAACATTTATAAAATCTTTACAAATAGAAATGTTAAGCTTTTGTGTATATAATAATATTGCTTTTTTCAAACTATGATATTGTAAAAAATTTACTTGTTTTTGTGTCACCTGCTCTAAGTAAGTTAAATCTACAAAATCGCCTTGGGGATTAATAATATCATTTACAAATCTGATTCCTTTTTCATAAAAAATTTTGATATAAAAGTATCTATTTCCTGCTAACAAGTTATGATTGTAAAACAATGGCATTTGTAACACTTGTTCTAAACTGTCTATACAAAGTTTATCTGTAAAAAATCATATTAGTTTTTAAAACATCTATCCAAAAAGCATTTTTAATTTGATCAATTGTCAATTTACAAAACAATTTACCTGTGCTAAACACTTTATCAATATTGAATAAAGCCATCACTAGCTTATAACATTTACTGTTACTATTACTAACATATCTTTTAAACCATTTTATCTATACAGAATGTATATAACTATCAATATCAATCATATTTAGACCACCTTCCTGATATGTTTTAATAACTACTGATTGCTTTATCTTTGCTTTACTTTATAAAATTAGTCATTAAGTGTTTTCAAAAATGCCGAATTAGATGTCGGTAAACTTGTAAAGCAATGAGTGAATAAAGGAAGGAGTAATGACTTAACAACAGTAATTTTTCCTATAGGTGTTAACATTTTTTTTTCCAGTATCCTATACTATTTTTAACTTTTTGAAGTTTTTCATTAAAATTTAACTCTATCATTTTTTCTAAATCAACATCAAAATATCAAACCTAACAATTTAAACTGTGTATCACCCCATGTCAGTTTCCATTTTGTCTTAATAGATCTTGTACTGTATTTAAGAGAGCCTATCCAAATAACTTTAGTTTTATCAAAATTTACTTTCAATCCTGAAATTTCTGAAAACGTGTTTAATAACTTTAAAACAGTATTAAGGGAATTTTCTGATCCATCTAGCAAAAGTGAAGTATCATCAGCAAATTGTGTAATTTTATATTCTTCCCCATCTATATTTATACCTTTAACATCTTTACATTGTCTTATTTTTATTGCTAAAATCTCTGCACATAAAATGAAGATATAAGGTGAAATAGGATCGCCTTGTCTACAACCTCGTTTAACTTTGAAAAACTTTGATAAATATCCATTTAAAATAACACAAGTTTCAGTATTATATAAAAATAAAGATATCCATTTTTTAACATAGGACCAAATTGAAAAAGTTCTAGACATTTCTCTATAAATGTAAATGATAACGTATCAAATGCTTTTTCAAAATCTATCATCATTACTAGACCTGGTATATCATTATCCTCAGTATATTTCATAATATCATACAATAATCGAGTGTTCTCACCAATATATCTATTTTTAACAAATCCTGTCTGATCCTTTGAAACTAGAATATCTAAAACAAGTTTAAGTCTATTTGCTATGGAACCTGAAGCTAATTTATAAACTACATTTAATAAAGTTATTGGTCTCCAATTTTTAAAAATTGTTTTGGTTTTTTTTCTTTTGGAATGCATGTTATTGTTCCTAGCTTTTGATTTCTAGAAAAAAGAATTAACAGTATAAGCAAAGTTTATAGCTTTTACAACAAAATGTCCAATTCTATTCCAAAATATTTTAAAAAAATTTGCTGTAAATCCGTCACACCTGGGCTTTTATCATTTTTCATGTTTTTTAATGTAAAAGAAAACTTCATCATATGAAAGTAGACCTTCAAGATTCAATGCTTCATTTTGAGACAACCTGGTAACATTACAATTTTCTAATTCCAATATCAATCTTAGATTCTTCAGTTATATCAACATTTTTATATATAAATTTTCATAATAACTACATGTCTTTGTAAGAATATCTTTTTTGATCATATATAAAGGATCCATCATCCAGTTCTAGAAAAGGAATAGTTTTATCTGAACAATGTGTTTTTTTCTAAGTTTAAAAAATAACTAGTAGGCTTTTCTCCAGATTCAATCCATTGTGACCTTGACCTTATCATAGCACCTCTTATTTTTCTATTTCTTAATTCAGTCAATTCATTCTGTAAGTGTAAAAGTTTGTCTTTATTTTCAAATTGTCAGGTTTTGCTCTATAAGATTAATTTCTTCAATTAACTTTTTTTCATAAGTATTTCTTTCTTTGACCTTATAAGAGCTGTAAGATATAGTTTTACCTCTTATTTCCATCAAAAGAGTTTCTAAAAAAAGTTCATCATTTATAACAAAATTTACATCTTTGTTTTTTGGATCTAAAACATAGTCTATATTGTATACTGGTAAACAATATTGTAATTTTACTTCATCTATTTTTTTATTTATAATATCAAGGAATTCAATGTCATATAACAGAGCATTATTAAATTTCCATAAACCTTTTCCATGACTTACAGAACTAAAACAAAAATCTAAATAAATTATTGAATGGTCAGATTTATAACTAATGTCAATATCACATTTTCGTACATACTGATATAAACTATTTGATATAAGAAAAAAATCTAGTCTACCTTGTTGTATAGGGTTGGTTCGTCTCCATGTATATTTTTTCATATTACCATGCAGTTCTCTAAAGGGATCAATGAGGTCTTTTTCTTCAATAATACTTATTAAAAAATTTCTTGCCTTTACATTATTGTTTTTTGATTTATAGTTATAATAATCTAAGTCAGGATTTCGAACAAGGTTGTAATCTCCACAAATAATTAGAGAGTCATTATCATCAAAAGAATCTAAAGTATCAAAATGTTTTTAAAGAAACTAGGACTGTCTATGTTTGGCGCATAAAATTAACTAATGTGAAATTTATAGAATCAAGCATTATTTGTAAAATTATGAAATTTCCTGAATCATCAGTTTTAACAGAATTAATTTTTATATCTAAACCTTTTCTGCATAAAATAGCCACACCTTTGGCATTAGACCTACCATGGCTGTAAAAACATAAACCATTCCATTCAGAATAAATTTTCTTTTCAATTTCTTTTATAAAATGTGTTTCCTGTAGGCAGATAATATCAGCTTTTTTTGACTGAAATAAATCTAAAACATCTTTTCTCTTGATACTATCGTGTAAACCTCGACAATTGTAAGAGAAAATATTAAGACTACTCATAACTAATATTTACAATAATACATTCAACACTATATCTACAATATACATAGCTACACTTAAGTAAAGTAAATACAATATGTACGGTCCAAATTGAGAAGTTATTTTTAGACTGTATTACATGTATTTATTTTTCAATTTATAATTATAAATATACTTGATGATTTATTTCAAAGACGATAGTTTTATGCTTAAATTTCTTTCTATAATACATTTATGAAAGTTGTTTAAACGATGTTAAGAATTTAAATGTGTTACGGTCCCGAGTTTCCTCAGTACATTTTCCCGGCTTACCAATACGCTTTGAATTTACGCAAGATATGCCAACTTTTTAAGTTTTGAGTTGTGGCATTTAATTATTAGGAACTTTTTTTCTGTTTTTCTTTCTAAATTTACTGGAAGGTTAAAATCTTAATTTTCGTTCTTTATCAAAAACTCAAAAAAATATAGAAAAAAGAACTGAGGAGGCGCCGTGATTTATTACCGATTTTATAAGTTCGTTTTCCAAAGCAACACCTTTTATATTTGGGCAGTAACAATCTGTATCTATTATTGTTTAAAATGAGTAATAGTGTTGAATAACACTTAAATCTTATAAGATTGGACAAGAATCAAAGAAATCACAGACGCTTTGGGTGTGAAGCTCAAAACGCCTTTAAAATCCAAATAAAATGTATATGGAGCCACGTTTGAATTTGTCGAAAGATTTTGTAAATGGAGTAAAACGGCGATAATCTCGATGTTTATTTTGCCAGTTGCATTGTTTATATTACCGTTGAAGTTTAAAATTGACCATCATCTTGAAGATTTATATCTTTTGTGTCAAAGGATTTTGTGAAAATATTGGAAACAGAATAAAATACATGGTGTTTTTGACGGCAGGTGTGCGGATATTTTCCGGCGAACATTTTTATCTTGTGTATTATTATAGACGTTGAAATATATTTTTTTTTTCAAAACGGCTTATATTTAGTTTTTTATACATATATGATCAGTACATGTGCTGGTATTGACAAATATACACATTTTATTTGGATTTTAAAGCTCCACACCCAAAGTGTCTGTGAAAGAAATTAGCGGCGCAGCGTTTTGTTTATGTAACATTGTAAAATAACCGCGTTGATTCTTCAAATCTCACCTCGCCATGCATGTATTTTATAAAAAAAAATAATTTCTTAGCATAAAAGTCAATTGTATGGGATAAATATTTACTGTATACCAACATTATGAAAGTCTTTTGCAAAACAAAACAAAAAACAATAACAACAGCAAAATAAGGCGGGGCACCTGTTTCATGAAATAAATTTCCGAGTATTTTTTCTCTGCTACCCCGGTCATTTTAAAACAATTTTCATACCTTCGTTTGTGTGTGTCTGCTTCTTTCTAAAAAACATCTTCAGAAAGCTTTTTGGAGAAAACTATCCAGAATTATTGGCCTGCGTGAATAGATTTAAAAAAAGAAATTTACGTGGAATTTTGTTTTCGCACATACATGTTTAATGTCGAGGCACCGCGTTTGACGCTTATTCGTTTTATTATTGATAAAAATTATTTTGAACATTGAAAGTATCGTTTAATAGTTAATCAACCTGATTATAAATAACAGACTGTTAAATTCCTTAGAATGGTGTTTTCTCGTAGTCGCAAAGGCACTAGGAATCCGTACGTTGCTCTTTAAACATATAAACCTCATGTTTCTGCTCTTATCATATCCCTATTTCCATCATAATCGTGGAAAAAAAATTCTATAGATACCAGTGTTCCCACTAGAATTTAAATTTGAGGGTACATGTACCCCCTAGGTCATAATTTTGGGGGTACACAGAATATTAAGGGGGTACAAACTATAATTTAGACAAGCAAGTCAGTTAAACACATGCAGACAGTTTTAAGTGTTTTTTTTCATATATCTCGCATGTTAAACAAAACATTTTCCCATAGTCTTTGTCAAATCTAAGCCATGAAAATTCGGACAACCAGGAGTTCTGAAATCGTTTGCAATGTTTCTTTTTGGGGGGTTCAACACTATTTTCACTAGGGCCTGGTTCTTGATTTGCGCTAGAGGATTGAGTAAAGGTCGGCGATTTTTCGCTGGAATCGCTTTTATGGAACCATTCATTTAAATTGCGTTGCATTTTTTAATAACTTTTCCAGCGATTATTTATTATTTCAGACGGCTTATTTGTATTGCCCGGATGTAGACTTGTTACTGCGTTTAATATAGAGCGTCGCTAAGCGTCGTTTATAATTATGAACCAGTCCATGAGCTAAAAATAGCACAGCTGGGAAACCCGAGTTATGACCTCAGATTAAATTACGGTCGTATCGATTTTTACGGTCTTGTAAACAATTTCAGAGATTTATGAGTAGAATATTGATTTGTGATTCGAATTTGCGGATAATGTTTTGGCAGTTCAACTTCAATTTTTATACGTGCATGCACGCACCTAGTTGTAATTTCATGCGTGATTTTTGTAAATTATACGTGATTCACGTACATTTGTGCGTGAATGGGAACACTGAGATACCAATAGGTCCCATGTCTTATAATTACAGAGTATAGCTTTTCTATAAACGATAATAATGATTTTGATATTTCTAAGAACGCTCTGACAATAACGAATAAGTTGTGCATCTGCTCCAATAAAATAATATTTTTATCCTATCATAATTATTAATTTTTGCATAAATAAATGTCTTAAATATAACATTAAACTTGATATTTTACTGAGAGTGTTTCGTCGTTTCTCAGTAAGGCAGTACCGCATACACACCAGTGTAGTTATCAACAGTGTATTTGTCACGTGACATTAGCGGCGATGTCTTTATTTTGATGGTGCATGTGTATACTTTTCTATCAAAATCTTTATGTTAGGAAGATTTTCACAAATAAAACATGAAATTGGTGTAGAAATGAATAATCTTTAAAGGTATCGTAACAAATTTATTCAAATATGAATTCTAATACGATTTTACACGGTCCAAAGCTTGCGCTCAAAATCCCGGCGCAAATTTCACCACAGAAAAGGTACTTTTTATGTTGTACGTAGAGGCGAGATATTGCCCAGACACAAAAATAGCACAATATCTCGTCGCGGAGTACAATTAGTTGGACTAGTCCTACACTATGATGTTGCTTTGAGATATTTTTACTTCTTGTCAAAGGAACATCGTATCGTAATTGCTCCTAAACCCATAGCATGTTGCAGAATGATATAAAAGTGAGTCAGCATATAAATACATTAATTTCGAGCTATTAATGAATAAAAAAAATATCTTTTAACAAAATAAACTAAAAGGATCTACTGTAAATAGTTGAAAAATGCAACAATTAGAGAATTTTCAAAAGTAGCACTATTGAAAGCTCCTCGAATTTTAATAAAGCATAATCTTGACATTTTGTGTCATTGTAAATATTTGTTATGATACTTTAAAATTTGTAGAATTACGATGATGGAACCTCAGAGAAACCATATGGCCATGCTTTGGTCGCTGGTATTGAACGATACCCAAGACGAGTAATCCGAGGGATGGGTAAAAAGAAGATGAAGCAGAGGTCAAAGGTTAAGCCATTTGTCAGAGTTTACAACTTTAACCATCTTATGCCAACAAGGTAACTATTCTAGATACATTTAACATAAAATTATGAAATTCAAGTTAATTACTAGTTGGTCACTTGCAGAGATATAGGAAGTTAATGGTTAGTTATCGAGAAATGTCAGTTTAGTGGTTCCCCCTCCAAGATTATATGACCAAAATGTTACTTTTATGTATTAAAGTCAGGATTGAAAATAAAAGAAACTGTGGTCAAAATGAGCCTCTTCAGTTGTCAGTGAGAAACTGTGCAAACTTACATGTTGAACATACAGCAGGCTTTTACCTCACACACAAGATGATGTACTGGTTTTCTTACTTTTAAAATCGATTTTGGGAAAAATTATCGTAATATTGCTAATTTGGTAAGTAAAAAACATTGTGTAAGTTTTTTGGGGAAACTGCTTGATATTTTTTTTTTATTGGGAACTTTATGGAAAAAGGCCAATGCCTTTGTTAGATAAGGTTTAAATCACTCAGTGTTTTTTTTCACCAAAATATTCGGCGAAATTCGGCCCCATTCCCCCCTCAAAATAGTATGTTTTTTTCCCCTCTCAAAGCCGAAATTTCCCCCTCATATGGCAGCCAAAATTTGCCTGCAATGGATACCATTTTTTTGCATATAACTGCCGAAAAATGTTTTATATTAAGCCTGTAAGACTTACTGTTAAGCAAAGTTGTTTACAAATTGTTCCCGGGTATGTAAGGGGAGCTACTCCTGGCGTCCCAAGTTTAATATGCGACTCTTTCAATTCTGCTGTCAATATTTTTAGATCCGTATATTAAGAAAAAGCGACGTATTTTAAACTTGTGTTGCTCCCCTTTTCTACTCACTGGAAAGAAAACAATGTCAAACAAAAGTAAATCTTACAGTGGTAAGTGATGTATTGAAATATGCATTGAATTCGTTTTTGTTTCTACATTTGTGAAGAAATAAAAGTCCCCCTCCTTTTGCATTTTCCCCCCTCCAAACGGCACCGACCCCCTTCCCCAAAAAGTGGAAAAAAACACTGTCACTGCACTTTCAACAGCAACTGTGATACATATATAGCAAAAATATTTTTTTTCCCAGATATTCAGTTGATGTTGGATTTGACAAGGCAGCAGTCAACAAAGAGGCTTTCAAGGACCCAGCTAAGAAGCGTAAAGCAAAACGTGATGTAAAAGCAAAATTTGAAGAAAGGTGAGAATCAAGATTTTGGATTATTTAATGAAATTATAAACAACAATGTAGAGAAGAAATTGTTAATGACTGGGTTAGGTTATATATCAATATCAAAAGCGATACACTACAGGAATGTATATTGAAAAGTATTATATTCTTGTGAAGCAAATGTTGTGAGTTTGGGTTCACAATTTTCACTATTCAAGATCTTTAGCTCTAGCATTGATTTATCTTGGAATTATAGCCCTTTGTGTTATTAGAACATTTCTTGCAAGATCAGTTCCCACTTGTCTTTGCTTTGGGCGAGTTGAAATTTCTTTGTGACAATTGATGTAATGGTCATTGGTCTCTTACCACTGAATCGGAAGTCAATGGATGACAAATAATTTCCTTGAGCAAGAAACTTTACATTCATTGCTTAGTAATGGTTGGTTCCAGGAACGGATTTGAGAGTGTTTCAATAAGCTTATAGCTTCCAACACAAACTAAAATAAATTTGTATAAACTAAATAATTATAGTAAAGAGTTTGCCTTAATTATAGCCATCTTCTTAGGGAATAGACTTACTCCAAAATAAGAATACTTTAGGTTTTTACAGCTAATCAGTGGATACAAACAATCTTTTACAGTAACAGTTTCGAAAATGAATTCAAAACGTTGACAGTAGTGCAGTGTGAAGCTATAACAGTAAAAGTTTGTTTGTATCCAAGGATTAGCTTTGGAAAACGCACATTTGTCGAGTTTCGGATTACAACTATTTAACCTTGTATACTTTCTGGAACATGATTAGCAGGTTGAGCATTTGTCTAAATTTTACACCTTTTTCTATTTTCAGGTATAAGAGTGGCAAAAACAGATGGTTTTTCCAGAAATTACGCTTTTAAATGTACAAAGAAAAAAATAAAAATAAATGCCTCTAAGAAGAGTTGTTTTATACAAAGATGACCAGATATAATTTGTTTAAAACATATTTATTTAAGCTCGATTGTGAAACAAGTTCTTGCAACTTATATGAATCACTTTGAAGTTTGTTTTCTGGAACTAACCAGTACTGGTGTCACATGGAGAAACTTGGTTGTGACCCGATTAGGGCTTGAACCCAGGATCTCTGGGTGGGGATGCGGGCATCTTAACTACTCGTCCACCACACCCCTCCAGAAAAAAATGGCACATTGAAGCAAGATGCCAACAAATTCATGTTAATTTTCAAGAAAATTTTGAAAATGTATTTAAAGATGAAATAAAGGAAGTATTTTACACATTGCAAGCAGCACATAAACTCGGGGGGGGGGGGGGGTAAATTATACTAAATTTATACCAAAAAGGATCTAAGTAGGCCTTATCCCCATAAATAGCACTTTGTAAATCATGCAGTAGAAATACATCTATGGTGATAAATACTGCAAAACAGGTCAATCTCGAATAAGTGAATTTTTGAATATTTCTGCTTTTCTAAATAATACATTTTTAAGTTCAATTTTCTTGTAGTATTTTTGCCCATCTGAAAGCTTGTAAATGATTCAAATTTTAAGTCTGTAGATAGGGCAAACATGCCTTATAATATTGTACATGTAATAATAGATTTAGAAGGTGATGTGCTGCACAGTTCATATCATATGAAGAAAATGGCTCTGTAAATGAAATAATTTTTGGGCGTCCGTGGCCGAGTTCTTCAAACCACTTGCCCCTTACCACTGTGGGTTCGAATCCCGGCAGGGACTTGCTACTTTCTCGGCATAAGAATCGCACTAACGTGTTCTACTTTATCATAATTGACACTCCGCCCAAATTTGATGCCCATCGGAAAAGAAGCTGTTTCACCATGAACAGAATGTAATATGGTCATGTCACGTCGTGTAGGAACACCTCTAGTAACAGCAGCAGCACGGGACACATGGATGGTTCTACTCGGGTGCCTATTGTGACTGAAATAATGCACAGAGGGAGACATGATGAAGTCTTCCTCCACCAGTAAAAGCTAAAAAGTTGCCTTATGATATACTGAGCTGGTGCACCAAAGGAAAAAAAATGTTCTGTGCATGTGACATGGTGAAAATAAAACCTCACTGAATATAAAATGATTTGTGAAAAAGTGGTATTTTGTATCCATACTAAATAACTATAATTGTACTAATATAAGAAGGTGGCTCAACTGTATGGTCAATGAGTAACTTCTTGAAATTTGTAGAAGCGCACTGAAAAATGGTTTTTAAAATTATTTTGAAGGTTTTAAGACTTCATGGGTTTAAAAGGAAATTATAGTAAGATTTATTATGACCCCCACCCCTACCCGTTTTTCCCTTGAAGTTGCCAGTTGGTAGACGTACAATCAAAACACGTGGAATCGCAAGCATAAGCTTTTAGGAAGTTAACAACGCCCCATCCCAACCCCCCCCCCCCCCCAATAAAAAAAAAAAACAACAACAAGAACCCCCCCCCCCAAAAAAAAAACAAAACAACCAAACATTAACACAACAAATAACAACAACCCCATCATAAACAACAAAACCGAGAAATTATATAACATCTTCAAAGGGAAGAAACTGCTATTACATATTGAGATATATCATTTTGGAGTTACGTCCCTTATATACTGTTGCAGATTATTCGCCTTTCTACGCGCATTGCCGATTTAAATGCAAATAAATAACGTTATTATCTTGAATGGGTTAGTGTTAGCAGTATCCCCCGTAGACAGGCTCAAACAAACCGATTATGCTTTTTTCATGTTACTTTTGATGTTTTCTTTGCTTCCAAGGATTCCCCCAATTTTCAGATATTTTTTTTTTCACTAATGTCCAAAAACAACATAAATACATCGTGTACTGTTGAAAATTACCTAGCCACCAAATATTCATAATTATACAGCCTTGTAGGGCTACTGAAAGTAATGTTTCAGACAACATTTATGTCAGGATTCCTGATGATTAAAAAAGGTATAAATCATTAAATTGGTTAAAATTTATAACGAAAACAAGTCATTTGAATCAGTAAAATGTATTTTAACCACACCTGAATGTATTCTTGTTGAACTAAAATGTAGATCACATTCTTACATTTGAAAGTTTTCCTCTCTTAAATGACTTTCCTTGTTTTATAGCACTTTAAAAGTATGCATTAAAACTGCAGGAATTATATTTCAAAATGGTGATAAGATATAGAGCACAAATGATGTACGAGCAATTTATGAACATATAAAAAAACGAATTTAAAACCCTGAGGCCTTAGGTACTACATTATATTTTCCCCATGACAGCCTTTTTTCTTGAAACAAAAGCCAGAGAGTTTGTAAGGGTATAAAATATGGATAAGCGTTAAAAGTCACCAACCTTAAAGCCGTTTAAACTAGGGGAGCTCCCCAACTTACGTTTTGATTTATGATGGCTTACGATAAAGGTTAAGGAATTCTTTATGTAAGCAAATAAAGTGGAGATCGTGAGGGCTTTTAAAAGAAGCAACAACGTTTATGAGCCTTTTCTCTGAAAAAATAATGGTTTTCATTCCCTGTGTGTCAATTGTTAAGCTTATTAATGCCTCTCATCCTTGCCACCATGCGGTTTTACCCACACTAGTGTTTCACAACAACATCATCATCAACAACAACAGCAGCAGCAGCAGCAGCAGCAACAACAACCAAATACCCCACTAATAACAAAAAATGATAATGATAAAACAACAACAACAAAAACACCACAAAAAACCAACAAAACAAAAGAACTAAAAACCAACAACAACACACAAACCTAAAATTAAAAATAAAAACACAACGCAAAAAAAAAGAACTGCAACAACAACAAAATCAACAACGGACAAACAATAACAAAAGAAAAACAAAGAAAATAACAAGTAAAATGGTTTCCTGCGGTGAACATTTTAATGATATAAAGGTATTTCATTTAACTATTTTCAACATTATCATATGGGGGGAATAAATAAACGTTTGTGTCAGGAATATAGTTGACAATTGAATAAACGAGGTCTTTGGAAACTGGTGATCGTTGAAGACCGGAGAAGGTCGAACATAAAACAATTATTTCTTTTTAAGAAAACGATTAAATAGGCCTACCATTTTATGAACAATTCCGAGCAAAAAATATATAAAGTAACACAAGTTAACGCAGAAAATATCTCTATTTATTATGGCAGATGCCACTACGAATATTTTAATTTTGTAGGTTTTCAGTATAAACAATTTATTGTTTGTAAAATTTGAGATAGATATTAAAGAAACATTGATAATTTTCAAACACATCATTCAAGTTTTTCCACCTTAAACGATAAAATAATTATAGAAAATTAGAAATATCACGTAATAGTTTTTTGTTCTTAATTGATGTAATTCGGACTAATTCCCTACAGGTAAATCCGTAACGTACCGGCAAACGGTATTTAGCTAGGTTTTCGGAAAGGTCAATTAACCAATCATGTACGGTTTACAGATCACATGCTCCTCCATGTACCGAAACAGGTCACGTGCTCCTCCATGCCTCAAAAGTTAAACGCGTACCAATACCCTGCGGTCTCCAGACCGCAGGGTATGAAAGCATTAATTAACATGATGTTAAATCTTATGCTATTATTAAGAGCTGATCGACCGACTTAATAATAAAGATTATTATCTCTGATTCAGAAATAATGTAGAAAAAGATGTTCGTCACTTGCGTGGAAACTTATGTTTTGTTTTAAAACATGGGTGCTGATAGCAAACACATAAACACGTTTTTCAAATCTAATAGGACGTTAAGGTGTTTTAATTAAATGTGCTTGAATTAAAAGTTCCTTGATCTACAGTGTATAAATAAGTACATATAAGAGCAATATTTTCTTTGTTGAATTAAAAGTTCTTTGATTTACAGTGTTCATATATAAGGGCAATATTTTCTTTGTGAGAATAAAAGAGAGCTGGGGGAATTTCCCAACAGACAACAACACTTTAGAATATGGCGATGATAAATGATCTTCTCAAAACTGTTATAACCTTATTTAGGTTGCCGACTTTTAAAATGTCAACATAGTTGGTGTTCAATAAAACTTAAAGGTACATTATGCCTCAGTTTTCAGGAAAGGCAAACATGAGCTTTACAACATTTAAAAACTTTGAAAAAGAGCATATTAGAAGTTTATTTCCTGAAGAAAATACCGCTGAATGTAAAATTATCTGTCATAAAAGTAGCAAAATGTAAAAAAAACTTCCATTTAAAACACTAAATCACTTTATTTACTTATTGCCAAAACATAACAGATGCAAAAGATGGTTCAGGTATTTGGCCAATAAGTTAATTTTTGGAAACTATAACAGGATATACAAAAAAAACCATGAGAAATGAAAATAAAAACATTTCTTGGGCATAATGGCCTTTAAGGACATAATAAATTGATACCGTGACTTTACTACATTGTGAACTCATTGTTAAATATTTGTCGGAAAACATAGATGTATTGGTTTAAATAAAAAAATAAAGATTTGCATGGCATGTCAGTATATTTAATGCAGCATACCTCCAGATCTAGATTCATGCATGCTAGGTCATGAATAAAGTCAGCCATACCTGCTACACTTTCGCAATTGTGAACGATTTAACTGTTCGTTATATATTTAAGACAAAAATGCTTTCGTCAAAATATATAATTTCATGCCAGTAAATTGGGGGTATATTGCATTTCAAACCGCAGTTCACAAACAAGCCTAATCAATATGACCTTGCAAAACATCCAATTGCAAAATTGTGCCGTGTTCGTCGACCTTAAAAGTTTTATTTTATTTCAATATTTTACCCATTTATAAAAAATATAACTGACATGTTATTGCTTAAATTGACAGTTCATTTTTTCCATAACGTTTGCTTTGTAGCTGATGTTTAAATTTTTATTACTAGGCCGATACGTTGCCTTTAATGTGTTAGTGTTGTCCGTGGACAGGTGG